AAATCATATTTCTAACTCATACTCTTTTCAAATATTGAAACAGAATTGGGGTCCAGGTGCATCCCAAAGAGCTATAATGGATTGTGTATAGGCATTTTTTTGCCCATGTATGTTATGTATTACAAGAGCTCGCGCGCACTGACATTTATCTTGAATTTACGCTCATCTTGTAAATAATGGTCATAAAGAGATAAACATGGTATCAAATTCCTTTAAAAAATATGAGAAATATCATGAAAGAAAAAAAAATGGCGATTCTATGTTTTGTAATGGTGTTACGCGCGAAAACGCGCGCGCATGCTCGTACGCGCGATTTTTTATAAAATGCTTAATATGACCTGAAACGTATGCAAAATAAATTTTAGACGATTTTGAGCATTTAAAAATTTTGCGCGCGCACTGACGCGCGGACGTACGGGCACGCGCGTGTTTTTTGACCTGAAATTAACCGGACTGATATTGACCTTGATCATGATAAATATGAATGAGAAATACCTTTTGGTTATGAAGATATGATCAAAAAATTATTTTCAGAAAATTTCACAAAATGGCGCCTAGATGACTTCATCAGTCAAGGTCAAGGTTGAAACCCTTACCGTGTCTTGTCCATATGCCTATACATATGTGTGCCAAATATCAAAGCATTTGATTGAACCATTTTCAAGTTATCTTGTTAACAAAAAAGTGGTTAGAAATAAAATAAATAAATAATAATAAAGGCAATTTTAACAAAATTATAAGGTGGTCTGTATAGATACAGCCCACCTGATAAATAATAAATAATAAATAAATAAAGGCAATTCTAACGAAATTATAAGGTGGTCTGTACGTTATACAGCCCACCTAATAATAAATAAATAAAGGCAATTCTAACGAAATTATAAGGTGGTCTGTACGTTATACAGCCCACCTGACTAGATTTGTAATACTTGTTTGGAACAAATATAGGTTGGCTGGTCGAACTAAAATTTGAGACAAAATAAAGGGCACATTTGAGATATCTTGTCTCAGGTACAACATACTCGAAGTTCAGCGTTAACGAAGCTAAAACGACAAAGATATTGCTCGCGAATGACGGGAATGTAGAATCCATATTTTTGAGAAAAAATCATGTCCCATAGAGAATACACGCAACATGTGCAAAATTGACATGCCTCCTTTAATCGCAAATATACGCCATGATGCCTTTGTCAAAATGAAAAATAATAGCTACTGATTTGTAGAAAATTGTCTCAGCTAGAACATATCAAAATTTGGAAGAAAATTGACCGATATTTACAGAGATACAATCAATTTTCCAAAAATATGATGACGTCATAATATGCAAATTGAAATTTTGAGTTCGGAGGCCATTATGATGACGTCATGAGTTAATTGAGGATCAAATGAGACATGAAATCATATCTCTGATTCATACTCAATCAAAATATGAAAAAAAATTGGGGTCACCTTGCATCCTAAAGAGCTACAATGGATTTTGCATAGGCATGTTTTTGCCCATATATGCTATGTATTCCAAGAGCTCGCGCGCACTGAAATTTATGTTAAACGGTCGATTATTCGGTTATTAATAGTCATAAAGAGATAAACATGGTATCAATTTGTTTGTTAATATATGTGGAATATTATGAAGGAAAAAAAAGGCAATTCTATGTTGTGCAATAGTTTTACGCGCGAAAACGCGCGCGCATGCGCGTGTGCGCGATTTTTTATAAAATGCTTAGAATGGCCTAAAACGTATGCAAAATGATTTTGAGACGATTTTGAACATTTCAAAATTTTGCGCGCGCATTGACGCGCGGAAGTACGCGCACGCGCATGTTATTTGACCTGAAATTGACCGGACGGACATTGACCTTGATCATGATAAATATGAATGAGAAATACTATTTGGTTATGAAGATATGATCATGAGTTGATTTTCGTAAAATTTTACAAAATGGCGCCTAGATGACGTCATCAGTGAAGGTCAATGTTGAAAACGGTATTGTGCTTTGTACATATGCCTATACATATGTGTGCCAAATTTCAAGTTATTTGATTGAGCCATTTCCAAGTTATCTTGCCAACAAAAAAGTGGTTAGAAATAAGAAAAATATATAATAAATAAATAAATAAATAAAGGCAATTCTAACGAAATTATAAGGTGGTCTGTACGTCATACAGCCCACCTGATAAATAGATAATAAAGGCAATTTTAACAAAAATATAAGGTGGTCTGTATTAGATACAGCCCACCTGATAAATAATAAATAATAATAAAGGCAATTTTAACAAAATTATAAGGTGGTCTGTATTAGATACAGCCCACCTAATAAATAATAAATAATAAAGGCAATTTTAACAAAATTATAATGTGGTCTGTATTAGATACAGCCCACCTGATTAAGTGTAGGTACCAACACATTTTTTTTTTTTACTGCAGCCATTCTCCCTGGAACAGTTGACACTCTTTACACCATGACAACATTTGGCGTTTTATGTCTTTTTTACATTAATTATGATCGACCATTTCTTGTCAATTCAACCGAAAAATCTATTCCTAAGCATCTCGGTTAACCTTTGGATAACTATTTTAAGAAAACTATCCATGTAGTTTATCTCAACCCTGTGAAATATTTAACTTCCTTGAAATAGTTATGATTATACAACGCCTACTAGATTCTTGCAACCTCATTGGTCAATTATTGATCACATGACATGCGCTAAAAGTACCATTGAACGGCATCATTCTCCAGCCGTACAATTCCGTTTGATCCTTTCGCACCATTGCACTCTGACGTCACTAACTATCTACAAAGTATATTGTGAGCTAAGTGACGTCAGAATGCAATGGTGCGAAAGGATCAAACGAAATTGCACCCCGCGTCACATTAAACGTAAAGGTTGGTACGCGCGGCGCAGTGACAATGACAATGACAATGACAATTTATTCTCATGTCACCCACATTGGGGTATTGGAGAAGTTTACAAACAATTTGAATTTGTCAATTTAACACTGTGAAATATACAATACAAATAGAATTAATGTTAATCCATACATAATAACACTATCGATAATAGTGAGAAAAATTATGATGATAATGATAATAACAATATTGATGATAATAATAATAATAATAATAATAATCAAAAACAAAACGATAATATTTATTAAAACGATAATTAATGACGAAATTAATGGAAGCAATTGAAAAAGAGATTTACTGGCACCAGTAAATTGATATCTGAATTAATGAATTACTGAAAATATTCTTGACATCAATTTAATAAATTGATAAGACAAAAAAGACAAAAATAAAGTTAATATTGAACTCATAACATGTTTTTTGCACATACTTACATTAATGAAAACGAAGCATTATTTTTCGACAGAATTTTACAAAGTTTAAACGTGTTTGTACATTATTGGAGTTAAAAAGCTGATCCATTTTCAGTGTATTTGGTCTTTCAATAAAATATTTATCGATGAACAATTTTCTGTCTGAACGAAAGGTAGGGCATACAAACAAGTAATGAAATTCATCCCCAATTGCACAGTGTACATAGCCTCATTTCCCTTGGAGTATTTGAATATCTACCAGCTACAATCGGCAGATAATGATTGCCACATCGAAAACGACTTAATATTGTCCGATCTCTTTTAATGAGATCGATTAAGTATCTTTCTAAACATAAAGAATGTTTGAAGATTCGATAGTTAACACAATGCGAATTATCGTACATACAAGCAGACCAATACTGAGCATGAGAATCTCTTAATCGACGTTCCACAGTTTGTTTGACCCACTCACAGCTAGTATTTTCACAAATTTCCCATAAACTAGACATCCCCATATTGTCCAGAGTCAGCTTGATTTTTGTTAACCAAGGTGCCTGATATATATTCTTCTCAAAGAGTAATTTTAAGATGAGATACACCTTACCAGAAAATTTATCCTGTCCACTATGTACAATCCTACACCAGAAGTTTATCATTCTGCTTTCGATATATTTCTCAAGTTTAAGCCTCCCCAATTTACCAAGTACCATACAATTTGCAGTTGTTTTGTTGACACGCGCGTGTTTGGCTGCCTGCTTAATAGTGCGCGCTCACTATCGGCATTTTCATCAATTGAAAACAAACAAAAAACGCTGAGATGTAGGCCTAGGAAAACTGTTTTAAGCCCGTTAACGTCCGAGGTGTTGTATAAAACAAATAGTGAATGGTCTTTATTCGTGCAATGGAACAATATTTTGCATTCAGTGATTCAACTCGGCGTCTCTTATCTTTCACCTCGTGCAAAATCTTGTATCATTGCACTCATGGCCATTCACTATTTGTATACTTTTGGATAATTACCTGTTTAACACTTGATCGTCTATAACAACTCCTTGGTTTGATTTATTCTGCATGATGACCCGTGTAATGCATTTTGTTTATTTCCTTCGCAGAACAATGGAGCCTTTACCATATTTACAGGAAGTCGAGATAATTCATCTTTCCAGAGACATACCTCATACTAGTTACTCAGAACTGTGCATCGCCCTGGGGTACTCCCATAATTGGATTCAAACAATTCTCGCAAATCATCGAGGTAACTACAATGAGGCTTTGCAGGATATCCTGATCAAGTGGAATACTAAACAAGCAGATACAAGTCAATCACGATCGATCCTGGCAAGGAAGCTTCATGATGTGGAGCTTGGTGGATTGGGACAGAAATTGGCCGAAGGTAAAAAGTAATCTAGATGTAACTGAATGAACTATATCTATAATTATTGTATGATTGTTTATGATATTCAAAGTAAATGTGATCAGTCTAGCAGTCTTGCTGTATTCAGGTGTATTGTTTGATTTCTGAAATTAAAACTTTATTCGTTTCTAAATCAAAAGAATATGTTTTAATGTTCGATTCTCTCGAGCCATGGATGTATAAATAACATCAGAAAATGACTCTGTATACATTTCCTGTAGGTGAATATCTCTCAAAGCAGCAGGACCCACATGAAAAAGTCATAGAGGCGACTCCACTGCACAGTAGCTCAGGTATGATTGCATTACAACATTGATTCTTCTTCGTGGAAAGGGGGGGGGGCTAATACAACGACATGCCATCCAGACTATATATTAGGCATAGCTCCTAGGTTATTTAGAAGAGAAAGGAATATTGATATTTCAATGTTCAGTTCGAATGACAAAATTGCCGATTGGAGATTCACACATTAAGCCTACAGTAGTGATCTCAGTTTGCGAAGGTTCAAACAACTTCCGATTTCTGTCAGACACCTGATAAAGAGTTTCGCTGTTTCTACTTTCATGCAATAAAACATGTTGGAAAAAGAAAAAGAAAAAAAGGAGACAACATTTTAAAGAATGATATTGAAAACAAATACAAATAATCATCGAGAACCAAAAAAAAAACACCTAAGATTACCCCACATATAAATAGATACAAGCTATAAAAACAAAACAAACAAAAAGATAATATAATTGCTGATAAGGCTTCCCTGATAATTATGTTGTTATAATGTCCATTATTAGTATTATTATCATCATTGGAGGGGAGGGGGAGGGGTAGGGTTGGATAAAATTGCTGCCGTTTAATCAGATTTGACTCTTGGAAAATACTAGTCTACTTTCAATTCATAGTTTACGTAATTGTTTAATTGATTCGGATCGTCGGTTTATCTTTCTATAAATTTCACGCAGAACTGATAATCAGATTGACGAACTGAATCCCAAAATGTGAAAAATTGGCGAGAAGGGCACCCGGCTTCTAGTTAAAAAATAAAAATAATAGAAAAATAAACCCGTCAACCAAGTCCGTGAAAAGCAACGACTTAAATGTGAAAAAGTTTGATTTTTTGTTTAACCCTTCTTAACTTTCCATATCGATTTGGAGAGAATTTTTTTCCGACTGAGCTACTGTCTAATCGAAAATAACACTAGCTTTACAGGGTAATCCAATCTTTGTAATGAGTGCATTAGTGTGAAGAAAAAAAACAAAGAGGAGAAACCGAATTGCGAAAGTTTGAAATAAATTGAGAAAATAATTAGAAAATGATGAAGCTTTCAGACGTGTCATCACTATATCTTATATATATATTTATTATGTGAATCTCAAGTTGGCAAATAGGTCACTGGATTGTGACATAGTCCCGGGCAACTCTTCCGTTTGTAATGTAGACAAATTATATTAATTCTGTTTTTTTCCATACGTGCCTTCTCCAGTTAGGCACTAGACAACAATTATATATGGATAACATAATTATTATAATTCCTCTTCACTGTTAAAACAAGTATTAAAAAACTGCGGGTTAAAGAATTGTTGATTAAAAAACGTTATAAATGTGATGTTGATTAAAATTTACTTTTAATCTTGCGTTGGTTAAAAACAGTGTTGATCAAAACTATTCCTTTTAAACTGTATTGGTTATGTCCAAGTCGTTGGCAAACATTGTAACCCGGCATGGATTAAAAACAAAAATCCCACAGTAATGATCGCCCCCTCCCGGTTAAAGTTTAATCAAAGTTAATAAAGTACTGGTCACGTGACCCAACGGAACGATCGAAGCGCGTAGCTAGCCCTTAACCTTGCGATCGCCCGACATATGCTAATACACATGCAACATACATATACGTGTGCAACAAAATATTTAAACACAAAACAATGGAGGGTGTCGCGAGGACGCTGGGGGAATGGAGGTTTGGACGGTCTTATCCCCATGTTTTCAGGAAAGAAATTATTTTAATATTATCATCATTAATTCTAAGATTGTAAGGAAGAATTGAAATAAGGTTCTTGTTCAAATTAAAAACGGTTTGTGTCCCGTAGGCTGTACGTAGCTCGACCAGAAGTAACTATTTACTTTATACACCATAATTATGTGAGCATCGCACCATGCACCTGGCTCTCGTAAGCACACCCACACACACACACACACACACACATATTTATCAGTCTGCAAGAACCTTCAACTGTGAAGGAGGCAGACCCAAAGAAGGAGAAGTGTATAACGGATCACCTACCCAAATTGCATGCATGAATAAAGACGTTTCTCTTTATGATGACTACCTTATTTGTTTTCTAATTGTATATAATTGTTTAAACCAATTAGAAACAAAATAAGATAGTCATCATAAAGTGAAACGTCTTTAATATGCATGCAATTTGGCTAGGTCATCCGTTACACTTACTGGTTGAGCTACAGCCTACGAGACTCTAAATGTTTTTAATGTGAGCAAGAAACATATTTCACTTCTTCCTTACAATCTTAGAATTGATGATAATAATATTTAAATAATTTCTTACCTGCAAACACGGGGAAAAGACCTCCAAACCCCGGTACGTTTAACCAACAGTGGTTATAACTGCAACCAACACATTTAACCAACATCGTGTGAATCAAAACAGAATTAACCTACAATGGTTACGATTTTAACCAACGACCCATGTAAGTTTAACCAACATTGAGTGAATCAGCCCGTAAAAAAAGCATAAATAACCAACACATGGTTAACGTTTAATCTACTCCACTTAAACCAACATTGAGCAAATACATTTAACCAATAAACGATTAAAAAATGTAATCAACCACAGTTTAAATTTTAATCAACAGGCCGTTAGTTAAAGTTTAACCCACAATTGAGTGATTCATATAGTAATTTGTAGTTGATTAAAGTTGTAACCAACTTGATTAAAAATGTTAATACTTGTTCTAACAGTGCAAAAAGGAACTATCCTCCTTAGTAACACATTTGGTCGTTGTTGTTGACATTTTAAGTGATTTTTGTGTGTATTGGAACAGATGGGAGAGTTGTCCGCCACTACATCATAGTAACACTACAGATTCGGCCAATACACAAATTCCCTTACGTATATTGATTGCAACATTTACAAAGTTATAACGCTCTTGTTATGAACTTTAACGATTTCATTCAAAATAAGCTCACCTGTCTGCTTCTCTCATGTTTCTGCTTTCTGTCAGAGCAATCTGCTATCAAGGTTGGGGTTTTCTTTTCGTGTGTTTCCCGGCTTATACTTCAGGTGGAAGAGGAAAAACGTCGAAACAATGAATATTGATAAAGAAATAAATAAAAGATACATGTGTTTCATCAAGAAGAACAAAACTTAACGAACCCTACTGGGTCGGAGTGTGAAGGGGCTGAGATTGTGGGAGTGCAATATAAATTGTTGTCTTATATGCTTGCATCATTCCAGATATCTACAGTAAGAAGATCTCGCCATCATTGACTGTTCAGCGATGTCGCGAAAAGTTGGAGAATAAGTACCGAAATCAATTGTGCAAAATTCAAATGAAACCGTGGGATAAAAGTGATTATGCTGAGTTCAAAGATATGCACACGGTTGTCACAATGGTGCAGAAGGACGCTCGTGGAAAAGACACGAAAATGAAGGAAATACTCCAGGGTTCTGTTGCTGAAATATTTTCAACGAAAGTAAACGGAGAACTGCCAGCTCGAATCCTCATTTCGGCCCCAGCTGGACGAGGAAAAACCACGGCTGTCGCTAAGATGGCTTATGACTGGCTTCACAGAGAAAAGGGGTCAGCATTAGAACTACTGCCACTTCTGTTTGTTGTGAAATTCCGAAACACAAGTCAACTTACATCGATCGGAGAAGCCATCAAATCCCAGCTTTTGAGTGATGTTGATGATCTCACACCAGAGGGTCTGGAGAGTTTCATTAGAGAGAATCAGGGAATCTGCCACATCATACTAGACGGACTAGATGAGTATGCCGGTATTTCTTCTTCAAACCGAAGCTCAGAGAGCAATATGGTCAGTGTCATCCTCTGGGAGGAATTTCCAGAGTGTCGGGTCCTTGTAACAACACGCCCTCACCTAGAGAGCTTCTTCAATCAAGATGATCTTCCAAGGGTATACACAAAGATGTGGATCGAAGGATTCTCGCAAGAGAGTTCACGAGAGTACATCGACAAGTTCTTTGCTTCGACTTCGAAACCTTGTCGTGGACATGGTCTGAAAGTTTACCTTGATGACCAACCACTGATTAATGAACTTGTTAAAACGCCTTTATTTTGTCTCATGGTCTGTCACTTGTGGAGCAAAGAGCGTTTGAACACTGAAACTGAAACGCAAACAGAATTATTAGACAGCGTGAATGTTTTTCTGATGCACCATGCCAATGCCCGAGCAAAATCAAAAGACGAAATAACAAAAGAAGAACTAATCGAAATCATTCGTAACCTGGGTAAGGTTGCACTAGCTGGCCTAATCGACGACTCTAAAAAACTAGTCTTCACGCCCCATGATTTCCGAAGAGTTCCCGCTATCCTTGATAGGGCATGTGAGCTTGGGATCTTATCTAAGGCGACGATTCCAACGACATTAATGCTCCCACTATCCCACAATACCACATCCACGACCATTGAGTTTTATCATAAACTCGTTCAGGAACACTCGGCTGGGAAATACCTTGCTGCTAAAACGAAGAAATATATGTTACGACTGAAGATTTCTAAGTTAGACAGACTGCTGCGAAACATAACAGCAAACATCGGTGACTATGAGAATCTCATTCGATTTGCTGCTGGCGCGGATAACAGCCTTTGCATCCGAATAATGGAGGCGCTCCTTTCGAACCGCTATTTGGATGAGAGCGAGCGATATCGCATTCTCCTTGACTGCTCATCAGAGACCAGGGGTACTGAAGGAAATGTGTCTTCGTTGGTTCAAAGATGTGTAACTGCACAGAGTATTGTTCTAAAGTCACCGACTGTCTACACCGTCGTTGGGATGCAATATCTTCCAAAGCAACTTAAACTTCAGGTATGCACGTTTTCATTTGAAAAAATAACAATAATAATTTCATAAAGATTGATTAAATTTCCATCCCTCCGCAATAACTATAAGTCAAAGGTGTAAGATTGTTTTAATAGATTATTGATTAATTGACGGCATCTTCATTAATAATAATGCAAGATAAAATGATCAAGACGTATAATTCATTATCATAATTTTTCCATCTTTGCCCAATTACGGCCTTGATCTTGATCAAGGTACTGCATTCCAGAAACGAGAAAAATAATGCAAACAAATAATGCTAGGCCCTAGGGCTTATTCATATAGGGAAAATGATGAGACTCATTCAACAAAGGATCTCTATATTAAACATGGAAGAAAATACATATTTGACTTATGAACGTAAAGAAGTAAAGAAGGGAACTTCCATCACTTTAGCGAATACATTTCTGAGATAAGATTAGGTCGTAGGCTCGTTTGCTTTAATGATTAGCACCAAAACAAGACATTAGATATTTCAGAATTTGGCCGATTTAATTGAAGATAATCTCCACCATCGCGACCTTCTTCTACGTGCTGCAAGCCGAAGATGACGTGATATTTGGACTTCTACGCCCGGCGGAAAGGCAGGGTGTACTTGTTCATTGACACCGCCATCTTGGGCGGCTCGAAGTAAGTGCAGAGAATATTATAGATATTAATTATAAGAACCGGCCAGATTATGGACTAGAGCTGAAATAGAAATCTTCATCAACTTATCGATGTTCTGACTATTAAAGTTTGTCTCTATCTCTTTTTCTCTTTACCCCCACCTTATCTCTCTCTCTCTCTCTGTGTGTATGAACACCAGGTAAGGACAGTAAAGCTCGAGGGGTCTACTCTAACTACGGACGTGACGACTGGACTATGGACCTGCCTCAAAGCCTTTTGGATGTTAGATACTCTCATCATCTCAGACTCGTCTCTCAGTTTCCCTCCATCTCCTCCGGAGCTTCCATACGTTACAAAGCTATCAGCTAAGAGAGTGACGTCACAAAGCTACAAAGGAGTTCTTTCATCGATACCTGGAGTGAGAGATATCGATGTCTCTATCGACGTTGCAGAGACAAGCAATACTTTTCAGATCACCACCGCATCCAGGCCTATGAATCAGACTAAGGCTATCATCATGGATGAACAGTTCTTTGTTCATATCAGACTACACGCCTTGACAGCACCCACCACAGACAAGAACATTGAATCAGAAGAGACAATTGGAGGACTTAGTCTTCTTTTTGAAGACCAAACCAAAAAAACACAGCGGCTGCATGTGTCCGGGGTGAGGGGCAGAGACGAAGAAGCCTTGGTGGACCTGTTTGTCAAGACTAAACAACTAACGTACTTGAATTCAGGGTAGGTAGCCTAGTGCCTACTACTACTAGACCTAGTACTACTAGATCTAGGTCTACTACATCTAGGTCTACTAGGTAGATCTCGATCTAGATCTAGTCTAGGTCTAGATCTGTATTCATGTATGGTGGTCTGACCATAGTTCACTATCTCAACAAATCGGTAAGACTTCGAAAGTCTGATATCACTAATGGAAAGAGAAACCTAAAATTACCGAGAAACGAAATTTGTTATGGAATTGGAGGTGAAATGAGTAAATATGAACTTGTCTACATGGGTCTGTAAATCTTTATTTTGAGAGCAAATGTCATCAAAATTGTTAATTAAAAGTGGTACCAACCAGGGGCGGTGATTTATTTTCATAACGGGGGCGACAAAGTGAGAGGGTCGAGGAAGCATAGATCTAGACTAATAGTTACTAGACCTAGTCAACAAGCTAGAGGGGCGAAGGTAACGGTAGTGAGTAGTAGGCCTAGATCTAGGCCTACCCCCTTACACTTTCACATGTTTTCGAAGTTTTGTTGTATTACAACATTACATTCCTTAGCAAAACTGTATTAGACCTATACAAACAAGCAAGATGCTTTTTTTCACACTTCACTTTTACATTGCCGGTAATTAGTGTGCAGTCCGAAGGGTTGTAGTAGGTTTAGTAAAACGAGCGTTGAGGGGATCTATCTAATTTCAGGGTAATGATTATTAATGTACCGGTAAACATACACCAATTTCTCACTCTAATCAATCTTTAAACATTCACAAGAAATTTAGAAAGCTGCATTTATCACCTCTCAATCTCAAGTTATACTAATTAAGTCAAGTTCAACCATACAAGATAGTCTTTCATTAAACTACAAAATAATACAAAAATGTAAGGTTTCACTGAAATTTATAGCTGATATTTAATCAATAGACACAAAATCTGTGTACTAAAACATCAACTTGAAAATAACAGGACACACTTCCTGTAGGTCTGTGGTATAAAATCAACGACAATCAAACAACTTGTCGCTAAAATGGAAGAAACCAAATATTCTCTTTACCTAAAAGTAAAAAGCTAAAACTGTCCTTTAAAATATGGCTGTATATAAATACAATAGTCAGTGACCACTATTACCTTGATGCTGCACTTTCTTAATGCTAGAAAATATTAATGGTATCAGGTTGGTAAAAGAAAAGATACAAACATACAAAGTATACTGTCTAGGACAATGCTAATGTATTATTACACACAATTAGTGCTTGAAAGTACTTAAATAACAAAATCGACCTTGGTTGAGTCTGATACCAGCCTATAATAATGGCCGAATGTTAATGCTTTAAAATGAATTAATGGACACAAACGAATTGTGAACTAGGTCTATACTAGATCTAGAAAGAATCAAGACCTATAGTTGTCATGCCAAGATTCACACAGTGAACGTACAATTACAAGGGTACGAGATAAGTTCTTCTTGACACGAATGATGGCGATTATTACATAAAATGATCTAGATGTTCTAAACTTGAATTCAACGTGATTGTTGGTATAAAAACATGCACAAAAACAAAATCAATGGTAGTCTATAGAAAATAGACCCAGGTTAGATTAGCAGTTGTCAACTTCAATGCTTCACTGTGTAACCATGGTAACTACTTCACATGTAGCTGTAGATCTGGTAAGAGTCTGTGAATCACTCAATGTTATGTGTTCGAATACTAACCAGCAAACTGTGGTCGAAGACGAAGAAACCTGGCTGGCAATTGATTGTTCTCGCTAAGTAGAATACTTTAAAGACGTGTCGATCGCGTGTAGTACCACGAGTTGCTGCTAGCGTAGTGGACGTGTAATAGACCGCTAGGCCTACTACTACTAGTCTATCATTCAAGCTCTCTGGGCGAACGCTACACTGGAAGAAAATCCGATGAAGAAAATCCGATATAGAAAGACACTAATTCATCTTTACTCGGGTCGTTGAAAGTGGAGGTTCCATGAAGTTCACGTAGATCTAGCTGCAAACTGCACAAACTAATTGTTGAATGGGAAACTTCCCAGGATGAAGTTCACGTATGTAGCTACAATGCAGTCTACACAAAAAGTGACTGTTGAACGGGAACCACCTCACATAGAACTGATGATCCTAGCTATGCGAAGGCGAGGTCAGATCTTGGTTGAAATCGTTATGACGAAAAATTGCGTTGTAAACATGAAGATCAAATGTCCAACTTAATAAATCTCGTATCAGGCCCAAGCAAGAGTTGCTATGTACCTCACTGAAGTAGTAAACTGAAATTTGGGCACTGAAAAGTTGAAAAAGTCATAAAAAGTAGTCAATTATGACCAAGAGCACAACACATTAGGGCTCTCAACTTTAGGCGAGAGATGGACGGTGTGCCAAAAACATGCACAAAAACGCATTGAATCTAAAAACGTGGTTTATTGTTTACATTCTATACGCACTATCAATACTAATTAGAAAATAAACAAGAACATAAATCAAATACTCATTAATGCCTTAACATAGGATATTCTAATAAAAGGTGATTCAGAGTATAATTTTGTTGATAATACTCTGTATCAAAAATGTATACATGTAAACAGAAATATTATATTTAAACAAATATTAGCACCTCTTAATCAAAACATGAATATTCATTAAAAATGACGTCAGTAAAGGGCAGTGCTACATAGGTAAATCTTTAGTAAACTTTAATTAGTCATGTATGACGTAATGAAAGACCTTGAGTTTGACTTAATAATACTATTTTTTAGAAAGATGTACACCATTCCCTTTAGGAAGTTAGGCGACAATATTTATATAACCAGGCTGGTAGGGACTCCTTAAAACTTAATAAAAAGAGCGAGCGGAATATTCATTTTTTAACACTGATCTATTTCTATACCTCTTAATCTTGAAAACATACAGTGTACACTGTGCTTACGTGATACCAACGAAATACAGATTTTATACAATATTTACTTGTATATTTTGAAGGATATTATGCGAGGTAGTGTAGAGACCGAGCTAGAAGCTGTTCGCATTTGTATTAGTCTAAAAGCTGCACTCTTGGGCCCTTCAGAGCCTAACAGTATTAAACAAAGAAAGAGTGTTGCAGTCTTTATTCAGTAGAATATTTGCTATACATTTGTGTGTGTGCACTTTTTCAAATTATCCGGGGAGGGGGGGGGGATCTCCCCCTAAACATCGCCGCCCTTGGTAGTAACTGATTGTATGATATTTTCCTTCCAAAATATCCAATTATCTTACATTTGATCGATTGCATTTTTCGATAAATCAGATGTAAACCTCCGTGCACGAAGTAAGGTCTCGTTGTTTTTATGACTTTTTCGTGAGTTGCAGCGCGCACGCCAATCCGACATCGAATTTTAGATCGCGATATCTCCGGAATCCTTTGACCATAATTGTTTGTAGTTAGGATCTACACCAATTTGTAGTTAAAAACTCTGCCGTCCGGCATTTGCTAATAATTGAAATTAAAAAAATTGTGTAGAATATGAGAAATCATGGATCGAATATCACATTTTCTAATATTGTCAAAAATCTCCGCGAACTTTGGTCACTACAGATTTTTGTTTTTATGTCGTTTTTTAATTTTAAGATGGCATGAACACCAAATAATGTATTTAAATGGTATTTAATGGATTTTCTCATTATTACTGATATCATTATCACGATTTTATTTGTGATTATTATTACCATTATTATAATATGGTTAACATCATTATTGTTATTGTTAGTAATGTTGCTTTCATTCACCTTTGTAAAGAGGGGATGCACAATTTACTTGCATTCTTTAATATCGTTTCCTTGAATCACGTTCTTTCCCTCATTGCTTTTCAAATATTCTTTATAGGAGTGGAGGTGGTTCTCTAAACAAAAAGAACACCGTCCAGGTGAGTGAATTTTGCTATACGGGTGCATGCATTTCGTATGAAAATATTTAACAAAGGGTAGTCCTCTGAATTGTACTATTAAAGGGAATTGCAAAACAATTGCATTTTTTTGTTGTTGAAAGAACTCAATTCATATGAATTAGTTTTGCTCGATTTGGACAGTTAACGCGACGAAGAAAATACCAGCACTTAACGCTGTGTGGAGTCAAACGCAGATTTTAATGATACGCGCTGTATACGCGTCGCACAGGAGCGTAGCTGAACAAACGTACAGTGGACGTGTCCATTATAGCAAATGGGGGTGTATGATGTTAGGCTCATATAAGCCTAGCTGTGTACAGTGGAAATTGGGACTCGGACCGTCAGAAAAAGAAAAAAAAATTGTTAAAATTAGAGTGCATGATATCACTGTTTTGATCACATGGGTCTCCTGAACGTGTATTATATGGTACAGATAAAGAGAACGTTGTATGTATTCGATCTGCTGTGGCACACACACACACAGGCCCTATATACACTCCAACGCATCACACACACAGTAGGCCTACACAGAGATACCCTTGGCAACACACACGGCGTATTAAGCGCATACAATACAGTGCGCGTAGTATATACGGCCGTGTACACAGTCATGTACACACGCGTATACCCTGCATGTAGAATGGATACCCTCCGGGGAAGCCTGTTACACAACAAAATCTCTTAATCATGGCTATACATACCTATAAATAAATCTTAATTTCACTAATTTTGAAAACGTATTGTTATTTATGATATGAAAAGATTTGTTCCTATATAATTATGTAATAGTTTGGTTACATTCATTTAACTAATATATATAAATAAGTGGCATTATGTTACCATTAAACGTCATGCTCAATTAGACATCGGCGTTGTAAGAGCGAGCAATACATAGCTATTGCACACGTCGCATCGACTCAAGAAAGCCACTTCAGGTTGTATTTTCTTACAGACATAACAATTTGTCAAGTCATTTTGACGGACCTATTTTTCAATCAATCATAATATTTTCTAATATATTACGAAAGCTGAGGAGATGAGCTGTGTTCTCGACATGGTATATAATTTTTAGCCTATACCGTTCGCGCGTAAGTCTAATGGAAAAGTCACACAGGGGGCGTGAACAAGCACATTTCTTCTAAATTACGCTTAAATCGCTTCCAAATTCTACCCATAAGTGTTTTGAAATCATAAAAATGACGGAGTTATTTATTTTCGAAAATTATTGAAAGTTAAATGATTAAAAAGAGGAAATAGCAGGCATTTTATAGATGTTGGTATCTATTCTGGACAGCCTCCACAACTAATGCTAAACCTATCAAACCCGGCCAAAGTATGATTTTTCTGATTCCTTCCCATGCCTTTATAACGGGCGCTGAAAATCTCTATCAGTAGTGCGAACGGGTGAACGCTTAACTGTCCCATGAAATTGATATGAATTCTCGGAATATGAAATTAATACTTGTATTTTCAACATCACTGACGTGGAATTCTATATGTCCACACGTTTATTCTCAATATTTGAATCGATGTATATAAAAGTGACAAGTTTGTCTGTTTGCATTTAATTGCAGAATACTAGCCTTCATATAGAGCAATGCCAGCTATCTACTGAGATGACAGAAAAGTTGTTGTCCTGCTTCAAATCCTTCACCTCACTAAACCATCTCACCATCTCAGACTCCTCTCTCAGTTTCCCTCCATCTCCTCCTGAGCTTCCATCCGTTACAAAGCTATCAGCTAAGAGAGTGACGTCACAAAGCTACAAAGAAGTGCTCTCGTCGATATCTGGAGTGAGAGATATCGATGTCTCTATCGATGTTACAGAGACGAGCAACACTTTTCAGATCACCACCGCATCCAGGCCTATGAATCAGACTAAGGCTATCATCATGGATGAACAGTTCTTTGTTCATATCAGACTACACGCCTTGCCAGCACTTACCGCAGACAGGAAGATTGAATCAGGAGAGACAATTGGAGGACTTAGTCTTCTATTTGAAGACCAAACCCAAAAAACACAGCGGCTGCATGTGTCCGGGGTGAGGGGCAGAGACGAAGAAGCCTTGGTGGACCTGTTTGTCAAGACTAAACAACTAACGTACTTGAATTCGGGGTAGGTAGCCTATAGTGCCTACTACTACTAGACCTAGTACTACTAGATCTAGGTCTAATACATCTAGGTCTACTAGGTAGATCTCGATCTCGATCTAGTCTAGGTCTAGATCTTTATTCATGTATGGTGGTGTGACCATACTAGTTCACTATCTCAACAAATCGGTAAGATTTCGAAAGTCTGATATCACTAGATCTAATGGAAAGAGAAACCTAAAATTACCGAGAGACGAAATTTGTTATGGAATTGGAGGTGAAATGAGTAAATATGAACTTGCCTACGAGGGTCTGTAAATCTTTATTTTGAGAGCAAATGTCATTAAAATTGTAAATAAAAAGTGGTACCAAGGGGCGGTAATTTCTTTTCATAACCGGGGCGACAAAGTGAGAGGGTCGAGGAAGCATAGATCTAGACTAATGGGCCCGAATTCACAAAGGAGGTTTGTCGACAAACCTTGTGTTTCGTACGTCATTTGACGCGTTTTACGCGTTTTTTACAAACCTGGTTTGTAAAGAACAAAAGGAGGTTTGGCGAAACAAAAGGGGGTTTGAGCTCAAACCTTGGTCTGAGCTCAGACCCTGCTTTGTGAATTCGGGCCTTAGAGTCTAGTCAACAAGCTAGAGGGGCGAAGGTAACGGTAGTGACTACTAGTACTAGTAGGCCTAGATCTAGGCCTAGATCTACCCCCTTAGTCCTTACACTTTCACATGTTTTTGAAGTTTTGTTGTATTACAACATTACATTCATGCTAAATATATTACTCATTGCGGATATAGTATCGAAAATAATATCGCTAGTGATATTCGTTTGTCTCGCAATGTGGTCAATAAGGAATCTAAAAGATCACGACGTTTCGTATGCTACTGCGATACTTCGTCAGGTGTTAACAATTTTTTTTTTTTTTTTTTTTGGATTGGGTTTTAAGGCAATTCAAAATTGACTATTTATGCCTCTCGCGCTGTGCTTGGATTTTGTAAAAAAAATACTTATTCATATACCTATTTATATAAAGATATACTCATATAAAGACACACATACAGATAAGTGTTTACCTATTTAACTAAATATACATACACTTTTGTACTGTCTAGTTTGTTTCATTAATTAATTTCATTATAAAAAAATAAATAAAAAATAAAAAATAAATAAAAAAAAAAAATCTTTTTTTTTTTTCTTTCTTCCCTTTCCTTTCTTGTATTGACTTGTTTATTTTTAAATACTACTAATATGTATTTGATACACAATTTTTTTTTCTTGAATTCCAATCGTCTATTTCCCTTACTCGTAAACTATCTTTTAATAGAAATCTAAAAAAAGTGGCGTAAACATGGAGGAAATTAATATGAAGGCACTCATGCGTTCTATGGGCACACAGGAAAGAATATGAACATGATATAATGTAATATGCTCTATACTGTTAAGGTCTGGTTTTGTAATATTTTGTTTTACATCATTGTAAATCTTGTTTAGAGAGCTCGGCAGCGGCGAGCCTGCCAGTCCGGGTCACTCCTCCGCCAAGATCCAAGACACCCATGGCCGCTTAATCTTGCGGGAAGCCGCGAAGAGGGAAACCGCTGCACCCTGTGTAGACGTTAAGTCTCACACTCGGAGAACGACGGAGGCTCCCTCAACCGTTGACCGGCGAGGTTGCTAATGCCAACCACCCCCGGCCCCAGCTACCAGGCCACCGTGCTTGTCATCTAACAACTTTTTTTTTTTTTTTTTTGGATTGGGTTTTAAGGCAATTCAGTCAAAATTGACTATTTATGCCTCTCGCGCTGTGCTTGGATTTTGAAGAAAAAAAAAATACTTATTCATATACCTATTTATATAAAGATATACTCATATAAAGACACACATACAGTTAAGTGTTTACCTATTTAACTAAATATACATACACTTTTGTACTGTCTAGTTTGTTTCATTAATTAATTTCATTATAAAAAAAAAATTCTTCTTTTTTTTCCTTTCTTGTATTGACTTGTTTATTTTTAAATACTGCTAATATGTATTTGATACACAAAAAGTTTTTCTTGAATTCCAATCGTCTATTTCCCTCTACTCGTAAACTATCTTTTAATAGAAATCTAAAAAAAGTGGCGTAAACATGGAGGAAATTAATATGAAGGCACTCATGCGTTCTATGGGCACACAGGAAAGAATATGAACATGATATAATGTGATATGCTCTATACTGTTAAGGTCTGGTTTTGTAATGTTTTGTTTTACATCATTGTAAAACTTGTTTAGAGAGCTCGGCAGCGGCGAGCCTGCCAGTCCGGGTCACTCCTCCGCCAAGATCCAAGACACCCATGGCCGCTTAATCTTGCGGGAAGCCGCGAAGAGGGAAACCGCTGCACCCTGTGTAGACGTTAAGTCTCACACTCGGAGAACGACGGAGGCTCCCTCAACTACTGTAAGCAAGGGTCTTTTATACTCTACGGGAGGACCGTGCGGAGCGGTCCATAATTCGATCGATAATTGGAACAATAACGAACAATGCCTATTGGTCGACGCACACGGTGATCGACCAATCACCAGGCCGCTGGTTCGGCTAATGCACCAGGCCTATTGGCCGACGCATACGGTACTCAGCCAATCAACGGGCCGCTGGATCGGACCGTCTGCTGAATGGAATCGACCGTTGTTGGCTGGCAGGACGGCGAGTGTCATGGCGGCGTATCGTCCGCATCCAAAATTCGGGGATATCGATCCCGTTGTCTCTGTTGAAATTATTAGGATTGAGACGGATATTGATAGCTTCTTTCACCCTCCGTGTATACCAATGCCTTTCCTTGGAAAGGCACTGAACCCCAGCCCAGTCTGGTTGATGCTGTTTATCCCAAGCATGTTCGGCTACGGCTGAGTTGTCAGTTCGACGGAGTCTGACATCCCTCTTAGGCTCAGTGATTCTTTCTTTTATCGGACGGGCAGTTTCACCGATGTAGGATCTATCACATCCTTTACAAGGGATGTTGTACACAATGCCGTCCCGTCTATGTGGAGGAATTGGATCCTTGGGGCGTGTAAGTTGTTGACGTAGGGTGGTATCTGATCTGAAAACCGTTCGAATGCCATGGCTGAATTTTTCGATAAATCAGATGTAAACCTCCGTGCACGATTTAAGGTCACGTTGTTTTTATGACTTTTTCGTGAGTTACAGCGCGCACGCCAATCCGACATCGAATTTTAGATCGCGATATCTCTGGAATCCTTTGACCATAATTGTTTGTAGTTAGGATCTACACCACTTTGTAATTAAAAACTTTGCCATCCGGCATTTGCTAATAATTGAAATAAATACATTTGTGTAGAATATGAGAAATCATGGATCGAATATCACATTTTCTAATATTTTAAAAAATCTCCGCGAACTTTGGTCACTACAGATTTTTGTGTTCATGTTGTTTTTTTAATTTTAAGATAGCATGAACACCAAATAATGTATTTAAATGGTATTTAATGGATTTTCTCATTGTTATTGATATCATTATCATGATTGTATTTGTGATTATTATTACCATTATTATAATATGGTTAACATCATTATTGTTATTGTTAGTAATGTTGCTTTCATTCACCTTTGTAAAGAGGGGATGCACAATAGGCCATTTTCGTAATGTAACCAAAATTAATGCATACGTCTTTGTGAAGTGCCTCAATACAAATAATTGCATTCACCTGATAAGAATAATAGTATTTCAATAGACATAATTCAAACTGCATACATTAGTTGTTGTCAGGTTGGACAAGCATTATGGCTTGACCTACCTAGCAACACTTAATATATGCTGTTGCATTCTGACTATTGAAATACTATTATTCCTATCAGGTAAATGAAATACTTTGTATTGAGGCACTTCACAAACACTTATGCATTAAATTTGGTTACATTACGAAAATGGCCTATTTACTTGCATTCTTTAATATCGTTTCCTTGAATCACGTTCTTTTCCTCATTGCTTTTTAAATATTCTTTATAGGAGTGGAGGTGGTTCTCTAAACAGAAAGAACACCGTCCAGGTGAGTGAATTTAGCTATACAGGTGCATGCATTTCGCATTGAAATATTTAACAAAGGGTAGTCCTCTGAATTTTACTATTAAAGGGAATTGCAAAACAATTGCATTATTGTTGTTGAAAGAACTCAATTAATTCTCGAAATATGAAATTAATACTTGTATTTTCAGCATCACTGACGTGGAATTTTATATGTCCACACGTTTATTCTCAATATTTGAATCGATGTATATAAAAGAGACAAGTTTGTCTGTTTGCATTCAATTGCAGAATACTAGGCTTCAGATAGAGCAATGCCAGCTATCTACTGAGATGACAGAAAAGTTGTTGTCCTGCTTCAAATCCTTCACCTCACTGAACCATCTCACCATCTCAGACTCCTCTCTCAGTTTCCCTCCTTCTCCTCCTGAGCTTCCATCCGTCACAAAGCTATCAGCCGACAGAGTGACGTCACAAAGCTATGAAGGTCTGCTCTCATCGCTTCATGGCTTGGAAGAGATCGATATCACTATCGGAGATACAAGGACAGAAGACATATCTCAGATCCAGACTAGTCTACGTCGACATCAGGCAGGACAGGATCTCACACGCATCGATCTTTCTTCTCTCCAATCAGAGGAGAATGTATCAAGCATGTCGAGAATGAGGATGAGAGGACTTGGTCTTCTTATCACAGAATGTCAGGCGATATTGTCCGGAGTTGTTTTCGGACTCCAGGATGCAGTGATCGATCTTGTCCAGTCTTCAACGCGTTTAATGTCAGCTAGTCTGTATTTTGAACAGTGAGTAACTATTATGTCAAGTAAAATTGATTGAAAGCTTGTTTACCCCCCCCCCCCCCCCTTTTTTTTTTTTACCCCTCATTCGGCATTGAAATGGGCCTTTAATTTCTTTGGCTAGGCTGATGTGTTACACCAGTCAATTAATTACCAAAGTATCCACCTGAAGCCGATTTAACTTGGATAACGAGTCATTGAGTACCAAAGATGATAGTTACTGGTGTTATGTTAAGACAAAGGTCATGAAAGGTTTTGATTTTGTTTTATTTATTTCAATACGAGGATAAAAAGAACCTGCTTTCAGTCGCAAGGCTGAACAAAACATCATCATTAATAAATACACATTTTTCTCAACATTTTTAAGAAGATGTCAAAGCAGATAATATTAAAAAAAAGCCCTATAAAAAAATTGTTTGACTTTTGAAATATGTAAATCGGCTCAATTATGTAACTTGTTATTCACAATTGTTTAAACTGGCTCTTTCTTTCTCCCCACTTCTTCATCTCTTTGAAATAAAATAGGTTTTCTGGGTCGCTAAACTCCGCTAAACATGTATCAAATGTAAGTATGCTCTAATTGTACGTGTCCATATATGCGCCTTATTCGTTTCTTAATATTTAAGAAAGCATTTCACACTTTCTACCAAATAGGGAGTTGGATTATCGGAAATAATATTCTTTAAAACAATGAATTTACTTCAGTTTGGTATGTATTCATATATCACACTAAACATTATACGTTGTCAGATGTGTTCATGCTAGAAATATAAATATATTGACAGTACACAGGTATTCGCAATAAACACAAGTACATCAAATGTATTAAATGACTTTGGTTTGCTTGTAGTTATTTGTTAATTAATAACTAATTCAAATTTGAAAATGGGGATATTAAGGAGCCTAAGGTAAAAGCATAGCTTGTTGGCTATAGCCCCGTAGTATATTACAATTATAATTCCAACAAACTTGTGGGAAGGAACTAAATACAGTTGAACATTTATACAGTAGGTATCGTTTCCTTTTTATATTGTACATTTTTCTATTGAAAATTAAAAATTAATGAAATAAGCCAAACGATTAGATAGAAAATTATAGCTAAGAAATGAATTAAGATAGGAAATTTATTCTAGTTCTGAGCGCGTGTCGATCGATGAGTTCAATGATTTGTAAGATTCTAGGAATTTGGTGTTAATGCTGTTTCTTTTTTTCTCCTTTCCTCTCAAAACCATCAATATCTTTCTTTAATGAAATGTATTACTATTTGTAGTTTGACATGAAGTTTCAAAAGAACTCGATAATAAGAAGTAATGATAGGTTTAACGGATAAATTTGACCTCTGTCTCTGAAATTACATGTGGCTCTCTAATGTAATGATGTAACAATGACTATACTTGTTCTTTCTGTATGTCATCATAGATTGACATGTTGACTATAAAGGACTGCCAGCTACCTACTGAGATGACAGAAAAGTTGTTGTCCTGCTTCAAATCCTTCACCTCACTGAACCATCTCACCATCTCAGACTCCTCTCTCAGTTTCCCTCCATCTCCTCCTGAGCTTCCATCCGTTACAAAGCTATCAGCTAAGAGAGTGACGTCACAAAGCTACAAAGAAGTGCTCTCATCGATATCTGGAGTGAGAGATATCGATGTCTCTATCGATGTTACAGAGACGAGCAACACTTTTCAGATCACCACCGCATCCAGGCCTATGAATCAGACTAAGGCTATCATCATGGATGAACAGTTCTTTGTTCATATCAGACTACACGCCTTGCCAGCACTTACCGCAGACAGGAAGATTGAATCAGGAGAGACAATTGGAGGACTTAGTCTTCTATTTGAAGACCAAACCCAAAAAACACAGCGGCTGCATGTGTCCGGGGTGAGGGGCAGAGACGAAGAAGCCTTGGTGGACCTGTTTGTCAAGACTAAACAACTAACGTACTTGAATTCGGGGTAGGTAGCCTATAGTGCCTACTACTACTAGACCTAGTACTACTAGATCTAGGTCTAATACATCTAGGTCTACTAGGTAGATCTCGATCTAGATCTAGTCTAGGTCTAGATCTTTATTCATGTATGGTGGTGTGACCATGGTTCACTATCTCAACAAATCAGTAAGATTTCGAAAGTCTGATATCACTAATGGAAAGAGAAACCTAAAATTACCGAGAGACGAAATTTGTTATGGAATATATTGGAGGTGAAATGAGTAAATATGAACTTGCCTACGAGGGTCTGTAAATCTTTATTTTGAGAGCAAATGTCATTAAAATTGTAAATAAAAAGTGGTACCAACCAGGGGCGGTAATTTCTTTTCATAACCGGGGCGACAAAGTGAGAGGGTCGAGGAAGCATAGATCTAGACTAATAGGCCCGAATTCACAAAGGAGGTTTGTCGACAAACCTTGTGTTTCGTACGTCATTTGACGCGTTTTACGCGTTTTTTACAAACCTGGTTTGTAAAGAACAAAAGGAGGTTTGGCGAAACAAAAGGGGGTTTGAGCTCAAACCTTGGTCTGAGCTCAGACCTTGCTTTGTGAATTCGGGCCGTAGAGTCTAGTCAACAAGCTAGAGGGGCGAAGGTAACGGTAGTGACTACTAGTACTAGTAGGCCTAGATCTAGGCCTAGATCTACCCCCTTACACTTTCACATGTTTTTGAAGTTTAGTTGTATAACAACATTACATTCCTTAGCAAAACTATTTTAGACCTATATACAAACAAGCAAGATGTTTTTTCACACTTCACTTTTACATTGCCGGTAATTAGTGTGCAGTCCGAAGGGTTGTAAATATTTAGTAGATCTAGGTGAATCTTTAGGAAACTTTAATTAGTCATGTATGACGTAATGAAGGACCTTGAGTTTGACTTAATAATACTATTTTTAGAAAGCTGTAGACCATTTCCCTTTAGGAAGTTAGGCGACAATATTTGTATAACCAGGCTGGAAGAGACTCCTTAAAAATTAATATAAAGAGCGAGCGGAATATTCATTTTTTTAACACTGATCTATTTCTATACCTCTTAATCTTGTAAACATACAGTGTAAACTGTGCTTACGTGATACCAACGAAATACAGATTTGATACAATATTTACTTGTACATTTTGAAGGATATTATCCGAGGGAGTGTAGAGACCGAGCTAGAAGATGTTCGCACTCTTGGGCCCTCCAGAGCCTAACATTATTAAACAAAGAAAGAGTGTTGCAGTCTTTATTCAGTAGAATATTTGCTATACATGTGTGTGTGTGCACTTGTTCAAATTATCCGGGGAGGGGGGGGGGGGGGCTGGGGGATTTCCCCCTAAACATCGCCGCCCCTGGTATACTGATTGTATGATATTTTCCTTCCAAAATATCCAATTATCTTACATTTGATCGATTGAATTTTTCGATAAATCAGATGTAAACCTCCGTGCACGATTTAAGGTCTCGTGGTTTTTATGACTTTTTCGTGAGTTGCAGCGCGCACGCCAATCCGACATCGAAGTTTAGATTGCGATATCTCCGGCATCCTTTGACCATAATTGTTTGTAGTTAGGATCTACACCACTTTGTAATTAAAAACTTTGCCGTCCGGCATTTGCTAATAATTGAAATAAATAAATTTGTGTAGAATATGAGAAATCATGGATCGAATATCACATTTTCTAATATTTTAAAAAATCTCCGCGAACTTTGGTCACTACAGATTTTTGTGTTCATGTCGTTTTTTTAATTTTAAGATAGCATGAACACCAAATAATGTATTTAAATGGTATTTAATGGATTTTCTCATTATTATTGATATCATTATCATTATTTTATTTGTGATTAGTATTACTGTCAAGATATACAAAATAGCCAGACACTCTCATAAATGAGTTCTACAGACTGTTTATTGACAACTACATCAACATCTAAATTCATAGAAATCTGCTGTTACGCAAATATTACATATACGTACGGTCATTTAACTACTCCATTACCCACGAGTGTAGTCCCGTACAAGTTAATTTCCCAATTCATATATATCTGCTGTTACACAAATATTACAAATACGTACAATCATTTAATTATTCCAATACCCATGAGTGTAATTCGTACAAGTTAACTTCCCAGTTTTAAAATGTCCGAAATTAAGACAATTGTCCGAAATAAGGTGAAAGCCTTTTGCTTGGTATTTGCTATATCAAAAGATCAAATACCGACATGGTTCCTACGACGATTCGATGCTTGGAGACTTGTGAAGGTTGATGTCCCGTAATCGCTTGTTACGGCAATCGGTCACGTGCTTCAAGATCCCGGATATACTGACTCGGCGATTCTCGGATGCTAATTCGACGATTCGATGCTTGGATGCTTGGATGCTAATTCGACGATTCGATGCTTGGATGCTAATTCGACGACACTCAGCGTGCTACTAGATAGTAGTGAAGAACGTTCTTGTCCGCTCTTACGGCTATAAATGAAATTATCAATATATCCTTCAAAATACATGATATTTAGTTTCTACGGTTTCAACACTTATTTCTAATACTCATTTTCGAATAAAGCAAACGATGAAATAATAAAGGTTATTTCACCAGACTTTCTTTATCCGGTTATAACAAAACCAACATGGTTTCCTCCCACTACACTTTCATTTCATTATTAACTAGGGTCACCAATCTAACTGACCCGGGCAAAAATAAGATTTAATTGCTATATCAGAAGATCCAAAACCGACATGGTTTCTACGAGGAATAGATCCCTGGAGACTTGTGTCGGAAGGATGATGACCCACAAACTTAATCAATCATTATAAGAATTTCGTTATGTCAATAAAAATTCGTTAGAGAAATTCTAGCACAATAATTTCAATAATAACTTGTTTCTCAACATTACTACTAGGTTGTACTGCGTTAATTCATTAACACAAAATAAAATGTTCTTTTACATATAATTTCAAAATGTATGCATGAAGCGTTGAAGCATTTATATCAATAAACGTATATAATTATCCCTATCGAACGACGCTCAGGAGAACGATAGTTCATGAACGGCTCTTTCGTCATGTGTTCGTGAATAATTACTTTTGATACACATACGAGCTAATTTGCTCTAACGTGGTGCTTCTTGCACACTTTGAACATGTAAATTATCTGAATCTCATTATCACACGTAGGTTATGTATAGAAAGCTACTTACAGTTATGTTGACAAAACTGTGCCAATGGCAGGAAAATCGAGGTTCTGGGCTACATGGAGGATACCTCTCGTACCGGTGTCGCCTGAGGAAAAGGACTGCTTGCGCCGAATACAAAATCAAGGCTCTGGTAGCAACTTCCACAACACACATAAGGGTACATGTTCAAGACCTCTCACACGTCCAGCTACAACCTCGTCTTCTAGTCAACTGCACTGATTTAAGTCCACACGTACACACCTTTAAGCATTCTCGGCACCACACCCTAATTTGCATATATTCAGACAAGCGACATATTTTCTATCACTAACGCCCTCTAATGTCTAGATGACCTTGAAAAAAGAAAAACAAATACAATAAGAACAAATTTCCCATTTTACTCTGACAATTACCATTATTATAATATGGTTAACATCATTATTGTTATTGTTAGTAATGTTGCTTTCATTCACCTTTGTAAAGAGGGGATGCACAATAGGCCATTTTCGTAATGTAACCAAAATTAATGCATACGTCTTTGTGAAGTGCCTCAATACAAATAATTGCATTCACCTGATAAGAATAATAGTATTTCAATAGACATAATCCAAACTGCATACATTAGTTGTTGTCAGGTTGGACAAGCATTATGGCTTAACCTACCTAGCAACACTTAATATATGCTGTTGCATTCTGACTATTGAAATACTATTATTCCTATCAGGTGAATGAAATACTTTGTATTGAGGCACTTCACAAACACTTATGCATTAAATTTGGTTACATTACGAAAATGGCCTATTTACTTGCATTCTTTAATATCGTTTCCTTGAATCACGTTCTTTCCCTCATTGCTTTTTAAATATTCTTTATAGGAGTGGAGGTGGTTCTCTAAACAGAAAGAACACCGTCCAGGTGAGTGAATTTTGCTATACAGGTGCATGCATTTCGCATTGAAATATTTAACAAAGGGTAGTCCTCTGAATTTTTACTATTAAAGGGAATTGCAAAACAATTGCAATTTTGTTGTTGAAAGAATTCAATTAATTCTCGAAATATGAAATTAATACTTGTATTTTCAGCATCACTGACGTGGAATTTTATATGTCCACACGTTTATTCTCAATATTTGAATCGATGTATATAAAAGAGACAAGTTTGTCTGTTTGCATTTAATTGCAGAATACTAGGCTTCAGATAGAGCAATGCCAGCTATCTACTGAGATGACAGAAAAGTTGTTGTCCTGCTTCAAATCCTTCACCTCACTGAACCATCTCACCATCTCAGACTCCTCTCTCAGTTTCCCTCCATCTCCTCCTGAGCTTCCATCCGTCACAAAGCTATCAGCCGAGAGAGTGACATCACAAAGCTATGAAGGTCTGCTCTCATCGCTTCATGGCTTGGAAGAGATCGATATCACTATCGGAGATGCAAGGACAGAAGACATATCTCAGATCCAGACTAGTCTACGTCGACATCTGGCAGGACAGGATCTCACACGCATTGATCTTTCTTCTCTCCAATCAGAGGAGAATGTATCAAGCATGTCGAGAATGAGGATGAGAGGACTGGGTCTTCTTGTCACAGAATGTCAGGCGATATTGTCCGGAGTTGTTTTCGGACTCGAGGATGCAGTGATCAATCTTGTCCAGTCTTCAACGCGTTTAATGTCAGCTAGTCTGTATGTTGAAGAGTGAGTAACTGTTATGTCCAGTAAAAATGTAGCTAAGCATTGTCTCTGCATGTTAGACGGTGCCGTCCCTCAATCAATGCCGCGTTAAAGCATCGAGTCAAACAAACTCTCTCGGGTCTTTTTTCAGAGAGTTCTATTCTTTGCTGGTGCTATGAAAGAAGGATAAAGTATCAATTTATTGGATTTTGTTGTCTACATAAAAAATGCTGTGGATATATTTATTTCATATATTTGAAATTTGGAAGGATGTTTGCATGACTTATCCTTCATGGATTTTGAAGATGAACCACAGTATTATTTTACAAATGATCTATATTTTTTTTTTTTTTTTTTTTTTTTTTTTGGGGGGGGGGGAGATTTTATTTCTGCATTTGTTCCATAAAATATAACTGAATAACAAAGAACATATAAATGTAAGGTATAATACAACATAAACAAACAATAATTTCTTCATGTCAAAATATTATTTTACATAATATATGTACATATAATAACCAAACCTAACATTTCCATAACATATAATCATAAATTTAAAGTATTATCCGAATTATTATGTTAGAAAAGTTCAGGAGACCACAATCATAAGCCTCGACACTAGGTTGACTTCAAAAATTGTTATCATGCTTTTTGTACACAATGCCTAGCACTGAAAGTTGAGGGCCTTATATTCACTGAGCGGTATTCGTTGATTTCCAAGTAATCGCCTGTACTTGGTTTTCCGAAGCTCTTGCTGACTGTTTGTTATTGAAGTTGGCATCGATAGATCTTTTATTTCACTTGCTCGGCTCACGTGCTAAACCAGTCCATTAATACCTGAAGTCGATTTAACTTGGATAAAAGAGTCATTGAGTACCAAAGATGATAATTATTGAAGTTAAGTTAAGGCAAAATAAATGTAAGGTAATTTTCCCAACGTTTTGAAGAAGATGTCAAAACAGGAAATATATTTTGTTGCAATGCTCTAGAACAAGAACACGTTAATCATCTGATCATTACTGAATTTAGACTTCGAGAAAAATTGGTAGAATTTGTATTACAAAAAACATCAGTTATGTAAGCTCATATTTCCGTGGTAATTACTCAAACAATCTTATGAAAATATGATATCAAACTTCCAACTTTAGGACTACTCTCTACGAATGGATATAATCTTAAGGAAGAATAAATGGCTTTCACATCCTTATTTGTCAGATCGAAATATTTCAAACTTTTTACGAAATAATATTAGTATCGTACAAGATTCGGTGTAAAAGGATTTAAGGTGAAATACGACTAGATTTGTCATTATTCGGAAACATTTTGGTCGTAATGTGTTTTTCTCAAATGTTTAAAGTGGCTATATGTGTTTTCCCTTTACTCCTTGATCTCTCTTTGAAATTATATAGGTTTTCTGGGTCGCTAAAGTCCAATGAACATGCATTGAATGTAAGTATGATCGAATTGTACATGTCCATATATACGACTTATTTTTCTCAAGAAAGCAATTCCCACCTCCTGCCGAACAGGAAAAAAAGTATCATACACATAAAAATGATATCTACATCAGGTTTTGTTGATGTTGTTTCTTATTCTCCTTTCCTCTCAAAACCATCGATATATATTTATCTTAAGATATATATTCCTACTTGTAGTTTTTACTCTAAAAAAAAAATTGTTTAAATGTTGTAAAAATGACGACTTTTCCTTTCTGTATGTCATCATAGATTGAAAATATGACAATCAAGGACTGCCAACTATCTACTGAGTTGTGCTCCTGCCTCAGATCTTTCACCTCACTGAACCATCTCATCATCTCAGACTCCTCTCTCAGTTTCCCTCCATCTCCTCCTGAGCTTCCATCCGTCACAAAGCTATCAGCCAAGAAAGTGACGTCACAAAGCTATGAAGGTCTGCTCTCATCGCTTCCTGGCTTGAAAGATATCGATATCACTATCGATGATGCAGAGAGAGACATACCTCAGATCACAGCTTGTCTTCGTCGGACCGGAGGACAGCAGCTCACACGCATCGACCTTACATCACCATCATCACTCCCAACAGAGAAGAGCAGTGTATCGAGAGAGACGATGAGAGGACTGGGTCTTCTCATCAGAGAACAAACCAAGGACCTGCAGCGGCTTTGTCTGTCCGGGATAAAGTGCTTGGACGAAGAAGACTTGGTTGAACTTGTCGAGTCGTCAACATATTTGAAAGCATTGGATAGTCTGCATTTACAGTGAGTTCGAGTAGATGTTCATATATTATCAATGAAATTAAAGAAGACAAAATTAAACAGAAAGTCTAACTTACTGTAAACTATAAAAGTCGAATAATAGGTTTGTTTGTATGTGCTTTTGTTTCATCAAATGTTAAATAGTGAGTTAATATTTCAGCGCTTTTGAACGTATTACGAACTATCAATTCAAGATAAGTAAAAATAAACACACTACACAAACTGTTGGAAATTACAAATACATTTGAAATTGGTTAGATGAAAGGAGGGGGCATGGAAATACTATCAAAAATTAAATGCGATAATTTCCCATGGGAATCCTCTAATCCGCCCCAGCCAGCTCAATTAGTGCTTCTCGCGGTGTTGGGGGTGTTGTGGGGGGGGGGGTATTGGGGTATTACTATCATCTTTTTCGTATATCTTTACTTATTTTCTTCCCATACTGACAATACCAACATTTACACATTTTTAGGCAGTAATTTTCTTTCAACTCGCATTCCCCACGATACTACTCACATCGTCTACCATTGTTTTTCATGCTTTATTTGTTGAAAGTCTTGATGATCTCTTAATGATATATATATATATATATATATATTCAACTCACTAGGACACTCTGTATTTTAGTATCATACGGCACAGGCCGTGTCCAGTATCAATGTTATGTCATGAATCACCCCAAACAATTCCAATTGTTTTTGTGTTATTTTTGTGTTTTTTTCGCTTTCAACTCTCTATATCAAATACTATAGGTCTCTTGATGGTGGATGTTTCGAATACGGTAGAGAATCGAGTGTCCAGGTAAGCAGATATCTTAAAGTAATACTATACGACTACTAACATTTAGGAAAGCAATTTATTATTTGCGCCTGAAGGGAAACGCAAATAAAGGTTCTTTTTCAAGTAATAAAATCAAAGATAGCTCTTACATATACAAAGGTGTGATTGGGCCACAGCTTGTCACGTGATTTTGATGGTGAGAATTGTAATTAGCATATTTATCTTCCGGTCTCTTGTTAATTGTTATATTGAACTGTTTGAATATGCATAGCGGTCAATTTATTAGCGTATCTTTGCGTCGTACCCTAACCAAACAACCCTACGCGTACCCATTGTTTGCAATGTCATAGCAGCGCCCATGTATATACTAAGACTGGACGGCTCGAGAAAAAAAACACAAGGCATGAGATGACCATTACCATTAATTTCTGTTAACGAAGTGCAATCGAGGCTATATTAGGGACTTTTAGATTTGCACGTCGACAGCTTTGACTGCAACGTGTGACGTCATTTTAAGGCACTGCGCATGCGTTACGTCGTCTCAGTCGGCGATCGAGAATGCGTCAACCTTGAATTTCCTAAATCTAGTACATACATACATATTGGTATTTATATAGCGCCTTTACATGCTCAAGGTACTAGTATGCCGCGTGCGCTTAAAATATACAATTCCTCAGGTAGACAAAGGAACATCCCTTCCCTGCTATTATGTAAAAATGTGTAGAACAGGTGTCACACCTGTTCTACACATGTTTGCATATTAATTTGTTCTGAAAGTGCTGTGCAGCGCCTTGCGGTCGCTCTCACAGGCTCTCACATTTTCTCTTTTTTCGCTTGAAATTGTTAATTTTGTTGCATAAGTTTTATACCCATGGATTCGTAATGTTTCATGGACCAACACTGTGCACATGAGAAACATGGAGAATTCGAGATTTGTCTCCATTTCTTGGTTGATTTACTTGACAATTTTGTGTCAGATTTCTGCAGCTTCTTATGTGGATACTACACATAGCTATTCAGTCTGTTCACTAGCTAAGAGGACCTTTCAAGCTGTGCGGTCAAGCAATGCTCTCTCTGGAACTGAGAAGGGGCATGCTATTGTGTTTGAGCTAAAACCCTTTCTCTCAAATCACAATACTATGACTTTGGGGTTCAATGTCATTCAGTATTCCGCTGTTCTTCTACACGACCTGTGCCCATACCACTGTGCAGATGAATGTGAACTCGACACTGAAGTCTGTCTCAGAATTCAGTCACTCGGTGTGTGTCGCAAACCATGTTCTGTACATGTATATCTGCAGGCCTCACAGCAACAGCTATGTTCCCGCCATTGGAAGTACGGGAAGAGGAAGCGATGGAGAAAGCGTGGGAAAAGAGGTGGCAGAAGATCCACCGTTTACCATCACATCCCTGCCATCATCTCTCAGACCAGGAAGTCTGTACAACATCTCCCGGCTCGCAGAGGTAAGCTTATAAAGCTTCCAGCCCAAAGTTCTACCAAGTCCTATCAACGTGCATCCCAAAGTTCCAGCAAGGATCATCAGGGTCGATATCCGCATGTTAAGATAGGCCATTGGAATGCACGATCGATGAACAATAAAACGATTGCGATTTGTGACCTAATTCTCGATAGTGACCTTGATATGTTGATTGTGACCGAGTCATGGCTCAGAGGAGATTTTCGCGACAATCATATCATAGCTGATATATCCACCACATTACCAAACTACCAAGTCCTACATGTCCATCGGCAGTCGCGTGGTGGTGGGATATGTGTCATTTACCGCACAGGTCTGAAGATCACTACGAATGATGCTCATGATTTCGTAACATTTGAACTCATGGACCTCTCAATTCGAACCTCTCCATCAGTAGTATTCAGAATGTGTGCTATCTATCGACCACCCCCGTCTGCAAAAAACAAATATACCTTTGAAGGGTTTGTCCGTGACTTTCGTTCGTTGCTTGAATCAGTGACAGTCGACTGCCATCATCTTTTATTGATCGGAGATTTTAACATCCAAGTTGACAATGCTTTTCTGATGTATTATACTCGGTAGGACTTGCTCAACATGTCACTGCACCCACTCATCAGGCAGGGCATACGCTAGACCTTGTCATTACACGTAAGGATAAACATCCACTTCTTGACACATCCTGCATTTCCGGACTACCGTCAGATCACAATGCAATAGTCTGCACCCTGAACTTTACTCGCCCCCCTTCAACCAAGAAATTGATAAAGTGTCGCAAGCTGAAGGACATAGATGTAGAACACCTCATCGCTGATGTCAGAAGTTCCCTTAGTGAACTTCCTGATGTTACTTGCCCATCTGATCTTGCTGAGCAGTACAATCACGTTATGGAACATCTTTTGGACAACCATGCCCCGGAAAAGACTGTACTCATTTCAATTCGACCAAACGCCCCATGGTACAACGAAGATGTCCGGGAGGCGAAACGCGAAAAACGTCGAGCTGAGCGTCGTTTGTCAAGAAACGAGAACTCAATCAACAGGGAAATCTATCGTGAAAAGTGTCGGTTATATAATGATATTCTTTCCGACTCCAAGTCCAGTTACCTGCGGGAGGAGATTGAGAAACTTGACAACAAGGGACTCTTTCAGTGGATGCAAAAGTTAACATCTCCCCCATCATATGAACGAAGTCTGCCGAGCCACGAATCGGATAAACAGTTGGCCAACGACTTCGGATCTTTCTTCCAGAACAAGATCCTAACAATAGCTGATGAGTTAGACGGCCGTCAAACTGTACATGAGGCTATGCAACAAGGGACTATTCATCCTACTTTCTCTGAATTTCACCCGATATCCGAGGATGATGTTCTCAATGTTATCAAGGAAAGCCCATCTAAATCATGTCGACTAGATCCTGCCCCCACCTGGCTCATCAAGAAATGTATTGATGTTCTTATCCCGTTCTTCACTAAACTTGTGAACCTTTCACTTTCTTCTGGGATTGTTCCTTCCTCATTCAAGACTTCACATGTCATCCCAATCTTGAAAAAACCTAAGTTAGATGTAGAAAACATGGCAAACTATCGGCTAATTGCCAACCTGATGTTCCTTTCAAAAGTCTTAGAACGGATTGTTGCCAATCAACTAAGGGCTTACCTTCAGGAGTTTCAGCTCTTTCCTCCTATGCAGTCGGCATATCGTGAGGGTCATTCCACAGAAACTGCTCTCCTTAGGGTTTACAATGACATCTTGCTAGCGTTAGATAAAGGACAGGAGGCCATTCTGGTGCTGCTTGATTATTCAGCAGCCTTTGATACCATCAACCATGACATGCTGATTCAACGCTTCAGTCACACATACGGCATAGAAGGTTCTGCTCTAAAGTGGCTCAAGTCATACCTCGAAAACCGGAAACAACTTGTAATCGTAAACGGAGCCAAATCAGATGAATTCCCTCTAACTTGGGGGGTACCGCAGGGCTCAGTAATAGGACCTTTGGAATTTGTTCTATATACTGGTCCTGTGAGTGACGTCATCGCAGCCCACAAAGGTATAAGCCACATGTTGTATGCTGATGACACCCAGTTGTACATCGTTATGCAACGCAATGACCTGACTGATGGCATCTCGTCTTTGGAAGACTGCGTGACAGATGTGAAGTCTTGGGCTAGTAACAATAACATGATGCTCAATGCAAACAAGACTGAGCTCATCCACATTACATCACAATTTAGGAAACGGAACGAGTCTGTCAGCCTTCACATAGACGGAGCTGTTATCACTGCGACCAATTCTGCAAGAGATCTGGGTGTTATCGTTGATAACTCGTTAGACCTAAGAGAGCACATCCGAAAGGTGTGTCGGGCAGCTAGCTTCGGTGTTTATAGGATTGGGAAAATCCGGAAATACCTTGATCGCAGCTCTACTGAACGACTAGTTAATGCATTGGTTACTTCCCATTTAGACTATTGTAATTCATTATTAATCAACTTACCTGCTTCTCATCTGGCCCCACTTCAACACATACAAAACACCGCTGCACGTCTCATCACTCGCACTAGAAAGCACGACCACATCACTCCAGTCATCCGCACCCTACATTGGCTCTTAATTCCCCAACGTATCCAATTCAAGATCCTTCTCCTCACGTTCAACATCATCCATCATCGCGCACCATCATACCTGATTGAACTGATCTCACCCAAACAGACTACCGGCATGAACCTTCGATCATCATCCAGACCCCAGCTCGCACTTGGTCCTCGCACCCACAACCGCTATGGTGACATGGCCTTCTCAGTCTGTGCCCCCACTCTTTGGAACACTCTCCCCGCCAATATCCAGCACTCACCCACCATTGACATTTTCAAAAAGAATCTAAAAACTCATCTTTTCCAAAAGCAACCCAAATAACTCTAAAATAAGTTCGAATAAATATTACCATGCCTTTATTATGTCTTTTTAAATTATTGCTATTACTGATAAAATGTTAATTTCCAAGGAATTTACATGTTTTGTTAATTTCTTTAGTAATGTTGGTAATGTTTAATCTTCTTGGTAATTTAAGTAATGTTAAGTTGTTAAGTTATGTTAGAAATATTTGATATTTTTGTTAATTTAGGTAATGATAATTTGTTAAGTTATGTTAGTAATATTTTGTTTATTGGTAGTTTGAGTAATGTTAATTCCATTAGTAATATTGATTTTTGTTTTAAGTAATTTTGATTTGTGTACATGTACAGCGCTTTGAAACTGTTGTCACAAGCGCTATATAAATTTGTCATATTATTATTTATTATTAATAGCAGTGAAGGGATGTTCTTTTGTTGAGGGTAGAATGAGGAACTGTATATTTTGCTCTCTTTCTTTGTCCGTGATGTTCATAGTGTTACTTCCTGCATGTATATCGTCGAGTGCAATCTAAAATGTCTAATTGTAGTCAACATGGGCAGTTAATTACATTGACACGCATGATCAGTCGGCGTTCGTCGTGTTCTCGTCCACTTAATCTAAAAGTCCCTATTATCAAGTAACATATACTAACTGGATTAAATGAATACGCTTTTGTTATCGCAATTGAGTTGTATTTTCCTTCGTTATCATTGTCCTGATAGCGCCCTAGAAGTCAATATAAGTATGTATGCTGTGATTTTCAGTATTCATTTATTGTCCACCGTTAAGCTTTAATCCAAGATGGCGGGGTCTCATTATGTACCCGGTTTCCCATATAAACACCATTAACGTGTAATGCTAGGAGTCCACTGGGCCAGCGCCAGTTGGTGCCAGTTTGCGCCAATGCAATTTACTGTGGCGCCTAGTGTCGCCAATAAGGTGCCTAGTGGCGTGTAGTGGCTCAAACTGCCTTCCAACTGGCTCGTGGTGGCCCGTAACGGCACCAAATTTGAATGTGGCGGCAAGTAAATTTCAAAATGTTTGAAATTTTCGTCGCGCCACTTGCATCGAACAATCAGCGCCAAGTGTCCGCCAAGTGGCACCAAATGGCGCGAACATATCGCCCTTTGGCGCAAATAATCCGCCTATTGGAATCCACTGGAATGTAATGGCGCGCGCCAAGTTGCGCCAATGAGATTTCGCGCCACATGGCGCCACTTGGCGTCAAGTGGCACCTTGTTTGCGCCACTACGCGAGCCAAACGGCACCCGATTGGTGACTACTTGGCGCCAAATGCCACCTGGTTGCCCGCCATTCGGCGCCACTTGCCGCCTTTAAAAGCAGGGCGGCATCGCAGGACTTTCTCACTGTGATGGCGGCAGTTCTCCAAGCTCCAGGGATGAGGTTGTGCTGGGCATCCTCCTGGTCCAACATGCGGACGTCCAGTGCCTGATAGCGCTTCCTGATGAGGTTGTGCAGCATGACGGCAGCTTCAACGAGCAGGCGGACTGTGCCTGGTTCCTGTCTCATCTGGCCAAGGAAGCACTGGAACCACAGAGCCAGAATACCAAAGGCATTTTCAACCACACGCCTTGCCCTGGACAGCCTGTAGTTGAAGACCTTCTGCTGTTGGTCCATGTTACGACGGCCATAGGGCTTCATCATGTACGTCCTCATGGCGAAGGCATCGTCTCCCACGAAGAAGTACGGCATAGGGTGCTCTTCATCATCATGGGGAAGAGGAGCTGGATCTGGGATGCCTAAAGTTCCAGCTTCAATGCACTCTTTCAGTTCACTGTTGTTGTAGATCTGGGCATCAGACTGATGGCCAACCCTACCCACATCGATCCACAGGAACTGGTACTTTGAATCTACCAGAGCCATCAGGACAACCGAGAAGAACTGCTTGTAGTTGAAATAAAGGCTGCCTGATTTGTTGGGCTTCTTGAGACGGATGTGCTTTCCATCATAGGCTCCCAGACAGTGAGGAAGATTCCATCTGGCTTCAAAATCACCTGCAACCTCAAGCCAGCCTTCATTGGTTGTGGGGAGGGAGATGACTTCTGCAGCATACTCAACCACTATCGCTCTGGCTACATCAGGGACAAACTTCTGGATGGTTTCCTTGCCCACTCGGAAGTTGTAAGACAGCTCGGCATAGGTGGCCCCAGTGGCGAGATGGCGCAGGAAGACGGACAACTTGAGACCAGGGGGAATGGCCTTCCTGAAGATGGTGTCCTTCTTCTGCAAGTGGGGTGTAAGCCTGACCAACAGGTCATCAAACATCTCTGGGGACACCCTGGTGTATTTCTTGAACTTCCTTCTGTCATTCTCCCTCAGCTCTTCCATCAAATTGTGGTACTGTCCACGTTCGGCCTTCAACTGTGGGTGGAGCATGGGTCTAAACCACCAGTTGTGCTTCATTTTCTTCTTAGGAGGCTCTTCTTCAAGATTGGCCAGCATAAGTTGATAGGCAGTGGCCACCTCAGCATCTCTCATCATCTTCTGATGGAGCAGCATCATAACTCCAACATTATCAAAAGCCTCAGACATATCAAAATTGTAAATATTTAGTAGAGATGTTGTTCATACAGCAGCTGAGGAGGGTCTGAACCAGGTAGCCGATGGCCGGTATTTATATAGTCGGCAAGTAGCGCCAAGCGGCGGCAAGTTCAAACCAATTTGGTGACCTTTGGCACAAACTAATCACCAAGTGGCGCAAAGTAGCAGTCTATTGGCGCGAATGGCGCCAACAGGGTGAATTTTGGAATCAAATGGCCGTGTAATGGCGCGAACTGGCTCAAACTGGCGCAACATTTTGGAGCAAGCCGGGTGGCATTTGGCGCACGCCATATGGCATCCAGTTTATTCCACTTGGCGACACATGCCGAGCGGACATTAATTCGGCGCCAAAGCGAGCCACTACGCGCCAATCACATAATCTTTGGCGCGAACTGGCACCAACTGGCGCAGGCCCAGTGGACTCCTAGCATTAGTAACAATCTAGTCTCTCTGTATTTCGTTATCCGTCCTGCAGGTAACGAGATGTCGACTATCTACTGAAATAACTGCCAGAATGTGGTCCTGCCTCAGATCTTTCACCTCACTGAACCATCTCATCATCTCAGACTCCTCTCTCAGTTTCCCTCCATCTCCTCCTGAGCTTCCATCCGTCACAAAGCTATCAGCCAAGAAAGTGACGTCACAAAGCTATGAAGGTCTGCTCTCATCGCTTCCTGGCTTGAAAGATATCGATATCACTATCGATGATGCAGAGAGAGACATACCTCAGATCACAGCTTGTCTTCGTCGGACCGGAGGACAGCAGCTCACACGCATCGACCTTACATCACCATCATCACTCCCAACAGAGAAGAGCAGTGTATCGAGAGAGACGATGAGAGGACTGGGTCTTCTCATCAGAGAACAAACCAAGGACCTGCAGCGGCTTTGTCTGTCCGGGATAAAGTGCTTGGACGAAGAAGACTTGGTTGAACTTGTCGAGTCGTCAACATATTTGAAAGCATTGGATAGTCTGCATTTACAGTGAGTTCGAGTAGATGTTCATATATTGTCAATGAAATTAAAGAAGACAAAATTAAACAGAAAGTCTAACTTACTGTAAACTATAAAAGTCGAATAATAGGTTTGTTTGTATGTGCTTTTGTTTCATCAAATGTTAAATAGTGAGTTAATATTTCAGCGCTTTTGAACGTATTACGAACTATCAATTCAAGATAAGTAAAAATAAACACACTACACAAACTGTTGGAAATTACAAATACATTTGAAATTGGTTAGATGAAAGGAGGGGCCATGGAAATACTATCAAAAATTAAATGCGATAATTTCCCATGGGAATCCTCTAATCCGCCCCAGCCAGCTCAATTAGTGCTTCTCGCGGTGTTGGGGGTGTTGTGGGGGGGGGGGGTATTGGGGTATTACTATCATCTTTTTCGTATATCTTTACTTATTTTCTTCCCATACTGACAATATCAACATTTACACATTTTTAGGCAGTAATTTTCTTTCAACTCGCATTCCCCACGATACTACTCACATCGTCAACCATTGTTTTTCATGCTATATTTGTTGAAAGTCTTGATGATCTCTTAATGATATATATATATATATATTCAACTCACTAGGACACTCTGTATTTTAGTATCATACGGCACAGGCCGTGTCCAGTATCAATGTTATGTCATGAATCACCCCAAACAATTCCAATTGTTTTTGTGTTATTTTTGTGTTTTTTTCGCTTTCAACTCTCTATATCAAATACTATAGGTCTCTTGATGGTGGATGTTTCGAATACGGTAGCAAATCGAGTGTCCAGGTAAGCAGATATCTTAAAGTAATACTATACGACTACTAACATTTAGGAAAGCAATTTATTATTTGCGCCTGAAGGGAAACGCAAATAAAGGTTCTTTTTCAAGTAATAAAATCAAAGATAGCTCTTACATATACAAAGGTGTGATTGGGCCACAGCTTGTCACGTGATTTTGATGGTGAGAATTGTAATTAGCATATTTATCTTCCGGTCTCTTGTTAATTGTTATATTGAACTGTTTGAATATGCATAGCGGTCAATTTATTAGCGTATCTTTGCGTCGTACCCTAACCAAACAACCCTACGCGTACCCATTGTTTGCAATGTCATAGCAGCGCCCATGTATATACTAAGACTGGACGGCTCGAGAAAAAAAACACAAGGCATGAGATGACCATTACCATTAATTTCTGTTAACGAAGTGCAATCGAGGCTATATTAGGGACTTTTAGATTTGCACGTCGACAGCTTTGACTGCAACGTGTGACGTCATTTTAAGGCACTGCGCATGCGTTACGTCGTCTCAGTCGGCGATCGAAAATGCGTCAACCTTGAATTTCCTAAATCTAGTACATACATATTGGTATTTATATAGCGCCTTTACATGCTCAAGGTACTAGTATGCCGCGTGCGCTTAAAATATACAATTCCTCAGGTAGACAAAGGAACATCCCTTCCCTGCTATTATGTAAAAATGTGTAGAACAGGTGTCACACCTGTTCTACACATGTTTTCATATTAATAGCAGTGAAGGGATGTTCTTTTGTTGAGGGTAGAATGAGGAACTGTATATTTTGCTCTCTTTCTTTGTCCGTGATGTTCATAGTGTTACTTCCTGCATGTATATCGTCGAGTGCAATCTAAAATGTCTAATTGTAGTCAACATGGGCAGTTAATTACATTGACACGCATGATCAGTCGGCGTTCGTCGTGTGTTACGAGTGGTTTCCTCTACCCGTTGTCCCCAGGTCCTTTGTTCCACAACAACAGAATACACAACACAAAGTGGTTAGATTTCAGAGGCTGATCTTCATTATTGAGCTTCGTTCTTCAACTCCAAATATTAGACTAACTCGTCCTGAGGACGGTCCGTACAATGTATCTAGATTCGGTAGATACACCCATCACACTCCCCCTCATAAATTAGCACTTATACCAGTAGGAGAAGTGCTATAAAAACATTTCTTTTTCAATGTTGTTTCAGCAACTGCTGTAAGAATACAAAAACCTGAAAGTATTTATAAGTATGAGGTCTTTGTAGATTTAGAAATCTGATAAACAAGTCAGCTTGTAAAACTATACAGTACCAGCATGCAAATGGTATCACAGCGTTGTCTAGTGGTTTCCGTTCATACAATAAAATTGAGTATGAACAGCTATAAGTAAAAACATTAACCATTCTTTTATCATCCTGCTCTATCATCTTCATCGCTGACTTTTGCATATATCAGAAGTCATTTGTACTTAACATAAAACAAAATACAATTCAAATCGCAGAGAAGTTCACCTTAAATGACCTATCAATATTAATATGTCTTCATGCTTCTTCGCAAGTTTGAATCTAAACATATTTCTTTGCATAAAAATAATACTAAACAAACTCCAGCAACATTAAACCTGTCTGAAAGATAATATAATATAGCCTTCACGTCAGTTGTAAAAAAATGTTACTATTAATCTGAAGTTTTGCATTGTAGTGTAAAACCATATCATCTGTGTTGGTTGAGTATTAAATATTTTCAAGAATAACTTTGATTACTTTATATCCAGAACCAAAAATATGGTAAGCCACCAAAATACTTTTTGTTCCAAAGTTCCTTCTTTTAATATATTTATCCTGCCTTGGATAAAACATATAAATCAATTTACTGTTTCTATTTTCATATATAAACATGCACAGACAAAATGATGACTCACTAGGCTTTCTAGTTCCTTGTGTTTGTACCAAAAGGGTTTTAACACAATAATATTATCATGCATGTTCAAATTCGTCAACGAATACGATAAGCATATCACATACATATATACACTGGTTTACAGACATCTGGAAAGCAAACATAAGAAAAATACATTTTTCTGTGAGTCCAATAAACAGTTTCAATGAGTCAGTCTATGTTCACAATGCTTTGTGATTATTAAAGAAACCATCAAAGTTAAAAGTTCTGGTTTCCTTTCTCACATAGAATTCCAATGAATTCACCAATGTTCAACTGTTCAAGAATGATGCTTTACTGTAAGTGTTCAACTGTCCAAGAAATATGGTTCACACAAGGGTTGTTTACTTTTCCATGTGAATATATCAATTAGTTGCTCACTTCTGTCCAAATATCACACACGAGATAAAGCGTCCGCAATAACATTGTCCTATCCTGGCACATGTAGAATGTCCAATTTGTATTCTTGGAGCAGCAAACTCCATAGCGTCAGTCTTTGGTTTTTGTTTTTCATTCTGTTGAGGAATGTCAGGGGATTATGATCAGTTAATACCCTCACTGGATGTTGAGATCCACTGACATACACGTCGAAACGTTCAAGTGCAAGTATCAAAGTCAATGTTTCTTTTTCCACAGTTTCTTTGAGAAGAATGATATGGGTCTGTCGATACCTTCAGCGTCTGCTTGAGTAAGAACTGCACCAGCACCCACATCGCTCGCGTCCACCATCATGCTGAACGGCTGGTTGAAATCCAGAGCCATCAGTACCGGATTGGTAGATAAGAGGGCTTTCGCCTGGTTGAAAGCACTCTCGCAGTCGATTTCCTTTTCAAGATTTTTCAGTTTTGTTGGGTTTGCACGATATGGTGCCTGTTTGATTGGGGTCATATCTCCCACACCTACATCATGCTTAACAACATCAGTTCGAGAGGGAACATCAGCAAATAACTGTGGATATGCACTCAACAGCTCTTTCACGTCGCTCCTCTCCTTCACAGATAAGTGTGTTAGTTTGTTATTGATATGTGCTAGAACCTCTGAATTTTTCAATTTCACACATGGGTTCTCTCTCTCAATCTTGCACACTTCTTTCTCAACTTCACACTTTGAGTCACATTCAACAGCACTCAACACTGGTTGTGCTTTACTCTCGTCATCTCTTCGGATATATGGCTTAAGCATATTCACATGACACACACGTCTCTTCTTCTGCCTATCTGGAGTATTGACAACGTAGTCGACATCACCAACTCTCTTAGCAATAGTGTACGGCCCAGAAAATCTAGCCTGCAGAGAATGACCAACTATCGGCAGTAAGACCAAGACTTCATCTCCTACCTCGAAATTCCTCTCTTTGGATTTCCTGTCATACCATGACTTCATCTTCTCCTGAGAATCTGACAAATTCTGTCTGGCAACCTCCCACGCCTTATGCATTCTCTCACGGAAAGTACTCACATACTCCAACACATTTGCTTGTGAATCATCACACAACAGTCTCTCTTTTAGCAACTTCAATGGTCCACGTACTGAGTGACCGTATACCAACTCAAAAGAACTGAAACCAAGCGACTCTTGTACAGCATCCCGCACAGCAAACAATAACAAGGGAACTCCCTCATCCCATTGTTTCTCTGACTCCATACAATAAGTTTTCAACATATTCTTCAAAGTCTGGTGGAATCTCTCCAGTGCTCCCTGGGACTCTGGGTGGTATGCACTCAAAACTACATGTTTTACGCCCAGTTCCGTCAACACCTGATTGAACACCCTAGACATGAAATTTGACCCTTGATCAGATTGTACAGTTTTTGGTAGCCCTACAGTAGTGAAAAATTTCACTAACGCCTTTGTCACATTATTCGCTGTAATGCGCCGCAGTGGTATCGCTTCGGTATATCTCGGCGCAGGGCAAATTATCGTCAATAAGTATTAATTACCTGCCTTAGTCTTTGGCAGAGGACCTACACAATCTACTATGATCCTAGAAAATGGCTCATCGAACGCCGGTATTGGCTTCAATGGTGCTGCTGGTATTTTCTGATTCGATTTACCTACAACTTGACATGCGTGGCAACTTCTGCAAAAATTTGCAACATCTTTTTGCACACCTGGCCAAAAGAAATGAGAAAGAATTTTCTCCTGGGTTTTAAGTGAAGCTTCATGAGCAAGGCTAATTATGTCCTGCCTGTATGTAGAAGGGACTACAATTTGGTGGACTTCTTTCAACACCTCATCTGCAGGGATATCTGCTGGCCTCCACTTTCTCATTAGCACACCTGCTTTCTTGTAATAACAAACAGGCACAGTCAATGCCTCCTCCTCAGAAACAGCTCTCTCATTCAAAGAAATCAACTGAGGATCTGTCTGTTGCTCCTTTAGCAACTTACTCTTTTTCAAAGATAGTGGTTCAGATTTTTCACCATTTCCTACGCTATGAACCTTTCTCGCACTCTCATTCACATTGGAATCAGACTCATCCTCAACCAAACGACAAAAGAAAGAATCATTTAAGTCAACATCTATTTCATTAGACTTCTTCTCTGACTCAACTTTCTTAGCCTTTGAACGAGTTACAGCACATGCTGGGAACGCTACAGGAAATTCTGCAACCAACTCATCTGTCTCAGAACTTTCACAAGGACTCGAACTTACTACTGGACATGACACGACTCTATCACCAGCGAGATCATTACCTAATATGATGGATACCCCTTCCACAGGAAGTGATGGTCTAACTGCCATCTTCACCATACCAGAAACAAGGTCTGACTTCAAGTCTACCACATAAAGGGGTGCCTCCACAAAGCCGTCTCCAATGCCTTTGAGCAAAACACTAGCACCAACAGAAGAACTATCACAAAAGGGCAACGCACTTTCCAAAATCAAGGACTGAGAAGCACCAGTATCCCGCAAAACTTTCACTTTTCTTGCTACATCGCTCTCTGCTACAGATACATAACCTACAGACACAAACGGTTCATACTCTTTCTGAATTTTTTCCATGTTCGCTGGAATAATTCCACTTTGTGAGTTTGACACAGTTTGTACGAATGCATTAGGATGTGCACTAGATTCCTGTTTCTTAGCCTGAAGTGAAGGACACTTTGACTTTATGTGCCCATACTGTTTGCAAGCATAGCACATTCTTTCCTCTGTTACCTGTCCTTGCTGGGACTGCGGTTTTATTTCATCCTTTTCTTGTGATGAACTAGTTTTCTGGCTTTTGCTCCAGTTTCCTTTTTTCTTAGGTTCTACGCTCACTTTGTTTGAGATTTTGTGTGTGAGCACATAATCATCAGCAATTCTTGCTGCTTCATCCAGCGAATCGACGCGCTGCTTCTGGAGATGTATACGAACATCCAGTCGAACGCTGCGCTTGAATTCCTCAAGCAGAAGAATTTCACGCAGTTTATCATAATCATGATCTACATGGAGAGACGAGCTCCATCTGTCAAACAATTGCTCTTTTTGTTTTGAAAACTCCATATGAGTTTGCGATTCCTCCTTTCGCGCTTTGCGAAATCGCTGCCTGTACGCTTCGGGTACAAGTTCATAAGCTTTTAGCACGCTCGATTTTACTTTATCGTAATCCGACACGTCGGCCATCGACATTGCTAAGTAGGCATTCCTAGCCTTACCGCTAAACTTACTCTGAATCAGGTGAGCCCACATTTCCCTAGGCCACCCCATGCTTTGAGCTAATTTCTCAAAGTGTGGAAAGTACTTTTCCACCCCTTCCTCTTCGAATGGAGGGACCATTCTGACATGCTTCGCAACGTCAAAATGCCTATCAGCATTTCTGCTTTCTTTTCTGTTTAGGGCAACAAGTTTCTCCCTCTCCAACTCTACTCTCGCCCTCTCTAATTCCAACTCCTTTATCCTCACTTCATCCGAAACTGAAGACCTAGCCTGGGAATTTAATTCAGGAGACCGAGACCTAGACCCTGGAGGAGTCACACTGATACCGTCCGCCGCCTCTGAAGACAAAACCTCTTCAGAAACCAGAAACTCGACAATCCTGTTCAAAATGTCCGACTTCAGCATGTAACGTTTAATGCCAACAACCTCATAATGAGCTGCTACATCTAATAATTCAACTTTAGTCAACGAGCTTAATCGCTCCGCAGACGGATCCCTAACAAACTCTCCCAACGAGAACTCGCTAGCCATCATGCAAAAAACCTAGTCTCCTAAATTACCTAGGAAGAACTAGAGCCTGGCTGTTATAATCCCCAGCCAACCTTACAACACCTAGATTCTACAATATCCGAGAAATCTAGACAACCTGACTGTTATAACCCTCAGTCAAACCCTGCAAATCCATGCAGAAACATGAGAAGACAACAATGTTTTTCTCACCACACACACCACGAATGCTCGAACCTGAAACGGCTACCCCAGCGGTGCCCGACGATATCATCTTAACGAACCGACATCGACAACACACACACACAGTACACACCGAACAGTCCGCTTACAAGTAACGTGTATGAAACTCGTCGCACGCAATGTAATGCAACATCCCAGCGCTAATATGATCACAAAAATCACCTGAAAATCATACTTTCCACTTTATATACCTGGCCGAGCCCCCATTTGTTACGTGAGGTTTCCTCTACCCGTTGTCCCTGGGTCCTTTGTTCCACAACAACAGATTACACAACACAAAGTGGTTAGATTTCAGAGGCTGATCTTCATTATTGAGCTTCGTTCTTCAACTCCAAATATTAGACTAACTCGACCTGAGGACGGTCCGTACAATGTATCTAGATTCGGTAGATACACCCATCACATCGTGTTCTCGTCCACTTAATCTAAAAGTCCCTATTATCAAGTAACATATACTAACTGGATTAAATGAATACGCTTTTGTTATCGCAATTGAGTTGTATTTTCCTTCGTTATCATTGTCCTGATAGCGCCCTACAAGTCAAAATAAGTATGTATGCTGTGATTTTCAGTATTCATTTATTGTCCACCGTTAAGCTTTAATCCAAGATGGTGGGGTCTCATTATGTACCCGGTTTCCCATATAAACACCATTAACGTGTACAATCTAGTCTCTCTGTATTTCGTTATCCGTCCTGCAGGTAACGAGATGTCGACTATCTACTGAAATAACTGCCAGAATGTGGTCTTGTCTCGGATCCCTCACCTCACTGAACCATCTCACCATCTCAGACTCCTCTCTCAGTTTCCCTCCATCTCCTCCTGAGCTTCCATCTGTCACAAAGCTATCAGCCGAGAGAGTGACGTCACAAAGCTATGAAGGTCTGCTCTCATCGCTTCCTGGCTTGAGAGATATCGGTATCACTATCGATGATGCAGAGAGAGACATAGCTCAGATCACGGCTGGTCTTCGTCGGACCGGAGGACAGCAGCTCACACGCATCGACCTTACAACACCGGACACACTCCCATCAGAGAAGAGCAGTGTATCGAGAGAGACGATGAGAGGACTGGGTCTTCTGATCAGAGAACAAACCAAGAACCTACAGTGGCTAGGTCTGTATCGAGTGATTTGCACAGACGAGGAAGACTTGGTTTACCTCATCGAGTGCTGCAGACATGTGAAGAAGATGTCAGAGTTGAGGTAGGTTCTTGTTCAAATTGTGTATAAAATAGATTAAAATCCTACTAGACGATCCTGTTTAGTTAATCTGCCGTGAGGAAGCATAATGATACGAATGCGTGAAAGGATGCAAAGGTTAAAACGGGGGTTTAACATCCAAGTTAGGATGGGCTTGGGTTTATTATTGCTCTCAATTGTTATTTTAGAATTTTCAATGTACAGTCGCAATAAATAGAATTTGAATACCTGTATTGAAAATCAAAAATGTTAATATACAGTTGCATGTATTATTATGAAACGTCGACAGGTAAGATATGGTAAGTCCATTTTTACTTTAAACAAAATCATATCCAGATAAAATGAATTATCATTATCACAAATTTTCATTATTATTATTATTAATATTATTGTTATTTTGCCACTACTATCATCATTATCATCATTTATTATTATTGCGTTTACTACTGTTAATATCATCATCATGCTATTATTGTCACTATCTTATTAATTATCATCAGTATCAATATTTCTGGTTGCAAGTAGGCCCTACTTGTTTTATTTTTAGGCAGAATGGCGAATCACCGAATACCGACAGCGAATAAAAAGTGTTGTACTCTAGCTGCAATGAACCGTTAAAGGCAAACTGTCCTCTCTAACATTATTCTACATCGTTTTTTCGGATACATCGTCTAAAAAACATCAAGTTTACATGAGTTAGCATGTATCCCCCCCCCCCGGCCATCGTCAGCTATTACTCTTCGACTCATAATTTGTGAATTTTTGAAGCTTAAGCAATGCCTAACTCCCCCCCCCCCCCCCTCCCCCTGGATGGTGTTTCATCAACTAAAATTAATTTCGATTTTAAAAATCAATTTTTAAGGCTGAATCACTTTTGGCTTAAAACTGATGCTCGTGGGCTGTTTCATCGAATCAAATTTAAACTAGAATTGCTTTTGATAAATTTTAGTTTAAATTTAAAAGGGCTCTGTAATCAAGGCTAGTCGGTGTTGGGTCAATCAAGCACAACATTGCGTCGCTAAACTACTGCGAGAAAGGATTTCAAAAAGTAAGTAAATTCCGTTCTGTTGATACAAAAATTGTTATTTTGGTAGAAGGAAAGTATTCCTCTCATTTTTAACCGAACGATATTTGAAATAGATATAAACTAAAAGCATTCCCCAACTGAGCTAAACTTAAGTTAACCCTTCGAATTGCACCGGTTCATGCATTTCCGTCCCATTCATAATCATATAGGCCTAGCCTACATTCATGCATGTTTAACTGTAGATCTACTTGTCTAATTAAATGATGTTGAATATTTGGTTAGGACATGTAAGAAATATAGTTTATTCTTGCATTTGATAACAAAATATTAAAGTTTACAACGGCTTTAGGAATCATCGCGTTGTATGGTTTCGTCGATAAGTCTAGTGCTCAAAATTTAGATTTAGTCTAGGCTTAGATTCAAAATCTAGGCCTAGATCCAGGCTAGACTACTTTGTTTTGTTGCCGGTAGGCAGTGCGGTAGCCATTGTTTTGTGTTAATAATAACAATCAACGAGATCATTGCTTTAACTTCAACATTTTATGCTAGAAAATACGACTCTAAGGTGTCAGACCGAAGACCAGGTTAGATCTTGATTAAGATCTTGATGTATCATTTAGTCTACATGATACCAGATCTAGGGTAGATGTAGACCTAGTCTTCACACTGCACCCTTTGTGCAGGACTAACTTAGATAAGTTAGGATTTAGAGTTGGTCCCTGAGTCATAGATGTAGTTGACTACTTGTATTTTTGTGACATCTAAATTAACATGAGTTAGATCTAGTCTACGTCTAACAGTAAAAAGTTAGATTTTAGATGTAGAATGTTATGTAGGTCTAGTATTAGTGGACTCGTGTATCAAGCTCTCCTTTTTTTTTTTCTTTCGGAGTCAGAGATGAAGTGGACCTGGACATTTGAGTCATATCCAAGAAATAGACCTCTAGTCTAAAACTTCTCTCTCACCGTGTCTTCAACGTCTTGGACTAACTTCTCATCCTACCTTGGCCCGAGGAAAGGGTTTGGATCTGCATAATGTAATCCAATTCAAGGTACTGCATATTTTACTGTGCTAAGTGGCCTTTTGATGTGATTTTCTTAGCAAAGTTTGAACACCGACATTAAAACGGTGAGTTTTTTTTTTTTTCTTCTTCTTCTAGACCTACATAGATATGAATTACTAACTTGTTGTTGAGTTTATAGTCTTGATATTCATTTATGATAAAGGGTTAAGATACCGGATATTGGATTTTACAATAACAAACTGAAAATGATGTGTTCTTAATTTAAGAAGAAGCCAACCATGACAGGTAAAAAGAAATATAGATAAATTACTAGATCAGCCAGATTTTGATCAATAGTGTACATAGGATAGGGCAGCAATTAAAGTATAAGATGTGGTTGAACAAACTCTATGCATGATGTAAGTTTCAACCTGTTTGTTATATACCAGTTTAGGTATTTCTTTCTCTTCTATTCACCAGAGGGTATTTTTTATCAATTCTTTGTACAATATGGTTTGGTTCAAGATCAGATTATCTAAGATTAAGATTAGACTGTTGTAGAGTCCGATTACAAATGAAAGCTAAAGTTTAAGATTAACACATTCAAGTTCAATATTTTAAAGAAATGTTTGGGATCAAAATCAAAATCAAGATGAATCCAAAATGTGTATTATTTTAAAAAAAGTTCCACGTACCAAATATCACATTTTCAAAAACTTTAAATGTGGTTAGTTACGTGACATAGTAGTTTGACCCAAATACATTTAAATTACAATTGATCAGTGATGAAAATGTACTTTTGTTCAGTTGAACACATTAAAGTGACAACTATTTTTCTGTGAAATATATTTGCTCTCTTTTGGTATATGTATATCTCTGTTTTAAATCTTAGGTTGCAAAGTAAAGATCTGTGGTATCTACATGAACTGCAAACTTATGGCATCTGGACTTTCATACCTAAGGTGTTTTCCATCTCTTCAAGTTGAAAAGGTAAGCGGTATCAGTTAAAATAATTGATCTTATCAGTATGTTTTGTGCCTGTCATCATGGCCCCTACAGCAATCAATAAGAAAGAATTTTTTTAAGCAAGTACAGTTATCATAGTCCTTGTTAGAGGTCTAATTACGATTTTACCCAAACTATTGTATACAACATACGCAAAAAGATTATTTTTTGTTTCCACGCCTTAAATAAATTAATTATTATCTTTTCTAACTAAAACTGCTTTTGTATCAATATTTAAACAAAAATGTTCATTATCCTTCTTCTTGATGTATTTTCCAATAAAAGAAATTGACATGACTAGAAATACAAAATTTGTATAGTCTATAGATTGAAAAATTACACTAGTATTTATTAATACTTGTACTACATAACTTTCAATTTCAAATTCTAGACTGCAGAGCTTGAATCCCCTGCAACATTATGCTTCATATGGAACATCAGCCAGCCTACAGATACAAGCTCCCTTTTCCAGCTCTAAGCAAGAGGGACCACAATGCTAAACAGATCGTGGAATAGTCGCTTTCTCATTAATTACGACTTCCAGTGAAACAGATTTTCAAATGAATTCATCTGAAGATATTAAAAGTGCTCCAGTCTGTGTACTACAATTTGCCATCGAGTATGAGATTATTGGTTTGACAATATTTCATCAAGTAATTTTTTAAAGGAAGTAAACAAATTAATGATACTTCCAACAATTCTATTCTTTTAAATAGAATCGTAGAATCTTGGAAAAGAAAGAAGAAAACAACTAATTACAGTTGAAAGATAAAACTAAAGTAATAATCCATATTAAGTTTAATAGCTCTGCAATTTAAGCCTGCACTTTCGAGAAATATCTCGCTAAGTGTTGTTGCTGATCTAAAAAGCTATGATTCTTTCATGGAAGCTGTTGTTTCTAAACTTACATTACCTAGATAAATCCGTTCATGGTGATAAATCTTAAAATATCAAATTGGAAATTTTAAAGTAGGAATTCATCTGAGCAGCAGTGGGCCAATTTGAAGGCCTATTTGGAACTCTTAGTAGAGTTTCTGTTGGCAAGAATTTGTGTCAATAATTACCTGTTGATACCTGAATTGGATATTCTTAGCAATTGCACAAGAACAAATACAAAAGAAATAACCGAACATTGTAATTGCAGTGAAAACAGATTTGTCCGGCAGGAAATAATATACCAACTCGGATTCAGGTTGTCCTTAAACAATTCTCAAAGCTGATAGAAAAAAAAGATAATTAACTTTATATAGACAAACTGTTGTATCAAGAAAAACCCATTTTCATCAACTGCATGACCTTACATGGCAATGTGTATTACCCTTATATTAACAACCATATTTGTTATAGCAATTATTACGACAAATCTTACTCTTTTAATCTCCACTAATGTACCTCGACTAGACAGTTGCAGATATTAGCTGCAATAGTTTTAACAACCAGTTGTCACTTAAAGAGCAGTACTTTCATTTGTGTCATTGGAAATGTTCTTATTGTATCCCTTGAAATGAATTGCTATTGCTCATCATTTATAAAATGTAGATTTTCATGGATTAAAGCATAAGAATAGCTATAAGACTTTAAAGCTTGAAAAATGTATGTAAATGTTATTTTGTATTTGAGTAATGTATTGTTTGTCATGTAATACGAAAAAAAGGGTTATGCAAAAAATGAATGGATGAGATTGTGCGATAACGCATAACTAGTAATTATGAAATGATGATAAAGGGCAATGATATATGATACAATGATGGTGTGTTTGTTTGAGTGATCAGATAACCTAGCAATATTTTTGTTAGAAGCCAGTGGTTATTATTTGTATTTTTTACTTTATTTATTTATTATTATTATTATTATAACAGTTTTGTTGTTGGGGGGGGGGGATGTGAAAGAACAAAACCATCACTTTGAAAGGGACAGAAATCAAACAGTTATGATAGCATCATAGCAGTGTGGTTGTGTGTTAATGAGAGAGAGAGAGAGAGAGTATGTGAATGGAATAAGGGCACACATTTATAAACATATAGATAATTAATGGCCTAAAACTCTGGATTCTCCGATACATATGAAAATTGTTAGCTTTCATTTACGCCTTTCAAGCAAATCAATGCTTGAACATATCGGATTAATAATGGTATGGTTTTTGTTTTAATTCGTTTTATTTAAAGAGGTTTCTCTCTCAGTATCAAAACTGTTTCCTGGGAAACCCTGTACAAATACAATGAAAGGAAATTGAACAAAGTTTAAATACATATCACATATGATATCATGGATTCTTTTGTCATGTTTTTGTTTTGAAAATTAAGATATTTGACCAGTTTATACAATTTAGTAGACTTCCTTTCAAATCGAAAATTACAGCAGGAAAGCTGAAATACTCGTTTTTTGTTTTACTACCGAAATGAACAGTTTCTGGGATTTAAAATAAACGATAAAAATTGATCTTAAAATGTACATGGATCACTTTCATAAGTTGAAATTATTAATACTTTTTTTCTGGGGGGGGGGGGGGGGGGGGGGGGAGGGATGAAACGGCCTAAAATAGAAATCAATTTTAGGCCCTTAAAATGTATCTCATCACTTTTAATATCAACTGTAAGGCTTGATGAAACATCCCCATTATCATCCCCCTTCCCGGAATTTGTAAATTTTGTCGCTAATCAAATTAAATGAGGCCTACATAATCAAATCATTTATGAGAAGAAAAAAATCTGATATATAAATCTGAACAGGAAAAATACTAAAAGTATCATATTGTACGCATTCTCTGTCTGTTTCTCTTTCTTAATTTCTCTGTTCTTTTTTAGTCTCTCTAATATATATTCTTCTCTCTCTCTCTCTCTATGTATACATATATATATATATATATATATATATATATATATATATGAACCCTCCCTCCTTTATCTCTCTCTCTCTCTCCGCTTTTTTTTCGTTAGTCTAACATCCAACGCACCCTTACCTCCATCTCTCTGTTTTCTAAACATAGGTTATACTACGGTGGAACTAGAGAGGGCGGCAGACTGGAATCTCATCTCAAAGGTCTTCACGCATCTGGCGGGGACCTCTCTGTGTGGGTTATACATGTAGGTACCGCTCCACGTTATGTGCACTGTACACTTTCACTATTTCTTATTTTCATCCGTATAATGACCGCTATGATGCTAATATTGTTTTGTATATTGTTTTTAATATTCAATTTCTAAATTTTCTTTCCATTTTTGGCCCATTTTCTTTGTTAACGTTTCCTTAGTGTTATTTTTTTGTGTAAAATCATCCCCTTCTGCTTCGGAAGTTTTTCAAACTGTTTTATATTTTGAGTTCTCGTAACAGACTCTTTTGTCTCTGTCCCGGGTCTCTGTCTTTATTGTTGTTGATGATTGTTATCCCATTTCGTACACATCAAATGTTCAACAGAATAACGAAACGTTGCTAAATGACATAATTTATATTTCTTCTTTACCATTTGTTCCTATTACGTTTTTACACGTTCTTCACTTTGTTTCCTCTGTCTGGATTTGCACTTCAACATTCAATCAAAGATTTCATCAAATATTATCCTTGTTTTCGGTGTTGTTTCGATTCTACGATTTTTAGTATGATTTATTATTTTTGTGCCTTGCATGAAATTGAGAAGTTTTTTTTGAATTGGGAAGAAAGTGATGAAAATATGCATGTTTGCTATTGTTGGAATGCTGATGACATAAGGAATACAATATATTGATTGACAGAAATTTGCATGTGTTGTTAAATTATTATTAGACTTAGAAAGATCAGTTAGTGTAAGCAGAGGAACCCGGAAGCGGTGATATTCTCGTTCGTGACGTAGTGTATGTGACGTATCTCCGTGGACTGTTCCTAAACCCGGAAGTACAACGTATTAGTTCAATGTAAATACGTACACAAACATGGGTCATTTGTTTAGTAGATTTTGCAATTTTTGTGATATTTAATGAAGTGTTTTATCGAATATACAATAAAGGAATAAACATTCTTTCAATTATATAAGCATTGGTTACTTCCCGATGTTTGGTTTCCTTGAAATATTGACGTTTGGTACTGTAAAATTGATCGTCTTGCAGATCCTGACACACCGGCTTCGCCTATGTTTTGTTTTAATAATTAGTGTAACTTGAATCTCGTGGCACGGGGAAAACTCGCGATAGCTCAGCTCAGCCGTTCGTAGTGCAGTGTTCACTGTGTTTCGGTATATTGCAGCGTGACATTTTTGGGAGATAGTAGTTGTTTTTCTCGGGTTATACTTAGCTGAAACGTCTGTCAATCAAACAAATTAAGCAAGGAGACCGCGATTAGAATGCAGGTGAGCTAAAACAGTTGTATTCCTCGGCTTGTAATTACCTCGTGTCTAGTTGAAAAGAGACGGCGCGGTAGTGCGGTACTTTCTCTTCGCCGTGCATGCTGAATCGACGATACAACAGGGAAGAATCGTTGGGGTAGAACGAAGAATCACTCCCATTTTCCCCATCGAAGACTTCTTCAAATTATAATTTCAAGTGGCCATCCAGATGCTCAGAGAAGTCGAGCAACCTAGAAGCCAAAATTGTAATTACTCCCTTTGCATATTTTGATATAATGTCGCCCAACCCGCTGTTTGAATGTTTCCCTATGCACCCGCTGAAGCTCCGACGCCTTTGGCGTAGGCGTCGTCTCGGAGCTTCCTAGGGTAGCTGCAGCTGCAACTCACGCATCACGATTCGATCAGCGTTTACATTCTTGTCGTCTTTACATTCGCCCAATTGCACCATCATTTTCACTTTCTTTACCATCATCACTGCTACTAACTTCTTCTTCATCATACTCTATTCATTTCTAGTTCATCTGAGCTGTCTTCTGTCATTTTTACTGATGATTATCATCCCGATATAACATCTATACTTTCACTCTGATTATGTACCCTGCAGTGCTATCTGATTGCGAATAGAATGCGCGCGGTGACCGTGTTGTGAATAGTCCACGGAATGACGTCACACGCCCAAACCTCCTAATGGTATCGTAGACGAAATTCTCTCAGAAAAACTTGATTCTCGTAACTTCATTCCATTATATCTCCTTCCCCTTATGTTTATTGACAATGAACCTAAAAACAAAAATGAAGAACTGAAAATAACCTTTCTAACGATACCTGATTCAATATGAATGGAATTCACCTTTAATCACTTCATTGCTGGCTCTTTTTTTTTGGGGGGGGTGCTACTATCGTTATAACATGAGGTCATTCACTTGATCCTTATTTTGCTGTGTTTTGTTTGGTTCATTTTACTTTTCATGTTTTTTCCATTAAATTGTTATATTCAGTTGTGCTACCACCCTTAAACCATTTCTTAATTGTACCAGTGATTATTTCTGTGTTTAACGTTGTATGGTTTTTAATACTGCCCCCCCCCCCCACATGTTGCTCCCCGGTTGTATCTTTCTCTATATTTGGGGCGTTCTTTATCTGCATCAGAGTCGGCGCTCACGGGGAGGGGGGCACAATGCCCCCTCTTTTTTTCTTCAAGTACACACGAAGCGCTTCCTTTTACGGAAGAAAAGTGTTCATTTTTATTGTGCCGTTGTTCTTTTTCAATAAGTTTCCCTTCCTATATCTCCCCCTCATGAAATTTGCAAGGTGCCTTTTACTTTGACAAATTAACCTTTTCCTTTCTTATGAATTCCCTCTTCCCCGTTTTTTATAACTGCCCATTTTCATTTCTGGTGAATGACTTGTTTACAACTGAAGGATTGACTGATAGGTTTATTGAGAACATTCCATTATCTTAATCATACAACAAAATTGATATGACTAACAATAACAATCATGCACGTGTTTAAAACAAAATATATGCAAATTGTCAAAAAAAGATATATATATAGACCATGTCAATTTTTCAATATTAATGAGAAAGAGAAGAAGCGAAAGGCATAGGAGAGAAGAGATTAGTAGAAGAGTAGAGAACAAAGTTAAGCAGACCGACCGAGGAAGAAAAAAGGTTGGAGAGCCAGAGAGGTAGATAGGCCAAGAGCATTAGTTTTAACATGGACATTTTTGGTAACAAGTTGATTTTTTTCAGGATAGGTCCAGGAATATGTCTAAATTAACATACTAAAAGTCCTCATAAATCCTCCTTGAGCATTTTCCGCAATCCAAGATGGCGTCCAAAATGGCCGCCATGTCCTGAATTTCTTATAGCTTTGCAACTAGATAACCCAAATACAACATTTAAATGTCTAAATATATGTTTTGTAGCATAAGGAACTCAACCAAATACTTATTAACAAATTTTGAAACACACAAGTAGCTATAAACCACTTGAGCCCTTTTCGAAATCCAAAATGGCGCCCAAAATTGCCGCCATTTCCTGTATTTCTTATAACTTTGCAACTAGATAACCCAAATACCAAATTTAAATGTCTAAATATATGTTTTGTAGCATAAGGAACTCAACCAAATACTTATTAACAAATTTAGAAACACACAAGTAGCTATAAACCACTTGAGCCCTTTCCAAAATCCCAAATGGCACCCCAAATGGCCACCATTTCCAATTTGATCTCATTGTACTAAAGTAGATACGTTATGAATACAATCAAATGTCTAGACTAGAAAAGCACCTTTGAAATACATATCAGTACAACAATCTTTTAATTAAAAAATACTTCTTATGCATAAAGTACACCCCCCCCCCCACATACACATATGGCTGCTTCCATCATCCTCAACGATATCAGACTGACAGTGTGCAACCGTGAAGAGTACTCAACATGAGATGGAACTGAAAATGTAGACACATTAGTACCAAGGTCGCTAAAGCTTTTTATACACAAATGACTGTAAGATAGGTGCGGTATGGATGTTGCTTTGCTGCAGCACTAGTTGGAGGTAGACTTTCTAACTATAAGGATGAACTCAGAGAACTGCGACTAATTGCCCGTTTAATTGTATGCAGTGTGACGGTAGTCATCAAGAGATTCAAAACTGCTGGCCCCATGAAGGCTTTCCCGGCTCTTTTTTACCACGTCATGGGTGCTTCCACTGCGAATGTATTAAGCAAGTCATAATCAAGTTTCTTGTGGACCATATTGAAAGTTTTACGACTGCCCTGACGGTAGATTGCAGAGACCGTATCACACCCTGTCAAAGCATAAAGAAACATCAGGCAATTTCTAGTGTCCCCTATGGCATGCTGAATTTCATGAATGTTGAAGATCGTGACAGGATTACTGCGGCATAGCATGTGCATATCTGTGGAAGTAGTTGCCGGAGCAACTAGCATGACCAGTAAGGCTGTGTTCTTACCAACGGCAACAAGGGCACCTGTTCTGACTCTGCTACTGCTTGTGCTGTATAGACAATCAGGGTAGTGGCATCCGCTTCTGCCTGCTTGATACGTATTTTGTCACGTAGAGTTTGTATAAGTCTCATCTTATTGTTGCTGTTGGCAAGGAAAGCTGTTTTGGGTTGTGCTTGTTGGCATATAATATATTATCATCAAATAAAGAGGTACATCTTTGAGCTATTCGTCTCTGCTCAGCTACCTTTGTCGAAGTTGCACTTCCATATCCATCGAACACCACCGTCAAATGAGCTCCATAATGCTTAAGGGTGCAGTAGGCGACCACCATCTTAAACAAAGAGACCATTTCTGGCAGGTTGGATTGCTTGGAGAACGAATTCAGCAGAAGACCCAGAGAACTCTTTGTTGGCTTCAGCATTACCCCAACTTTGAAAGGGAAAGTGCCTTGGAATAAGTTCATAAGCAAAGAACGATTCTATCTCATTGTTGTTATTCAGGACACATGTTATTCTGTTGAACAGTAGCGTTGGGTTGACTTATGTGCTTTGTCCCCTGATTTTCACTCTCTTACTCTTGGCATCAATGGTCTTCACCTTGTCCTTACGATGTAGGTAGCTTGATATATCTGTAAAATTCCTACCATGCATTCGTTTTGGATGCCGCTACTAGGCCGATTTGTACAGGTTAATCACAATTAACAGATGAGCCAGCGACGATGCCAGTTGACAAGGAGACCAGGCAATTAGTTTCGTATCCAGCAAATGGTGATGTGCCTGCAGCCATCCAACAAAGATACATCTTTTTTATTGTCTCTTGACCTGGTACTTTGCTGTATGTATGCTGTTCCAGTTCATCACAGGTAGGAACACAGTGAGGAAGTGCATGAACCCACTTAGCCAATGTACTGTCTGTGATTCCACGTCCACGAGTCATTTCTCTAGATGTTTTCAGCTGCCGCATCAGGAACTTTTCAATGGTCTGATCAGAGAAGTTTCCACCCCAGAATGTATCCCTTTTCTGCGAATTGTGTATATTCATTTCCTGGCATGGTTTGCTCTAGAGCTTCCATCTGTTGTGAAAACAACCTGTCATATTTGAACTAGGGAAGATGTCCTGCAGCATGGAAATGTTGTATCATTTCCCTCGCACAGCTGAGATGAAGCTTCCAGTCCCCTGTCCATTCAGCTGGAATCAAACATTGCAGAAGAGACACATAAATGTCGGATATACTGCAACCAAAGTTTCCCTGTCCTACTGTGTCCTGCTGCCTGGTCAATGAGTTGTGAAATGATCTGACTTTAACTATTTGACACACTCTTCTCAGGTACAGCAGTCACCTTCTTATCCTGGTTGAGGAGTGCACCATACAGATTCGTAAAATGGTCCTTATCTATGCTGTCTAAGACGCCAGGTTTACCCATCAACACGTCAATAAGGGCAGATGAAGTAAGAATGTGAGCACGAAGAGAAGGGGGAAATGCATGACCAGATTGCATATGTATGACAGACCCTTTGGCGTACACTGTCTCCCATAGCTCTGCAAGCATACTTCCGCCCATGACATGGACTATATGCTGCCGAGATATGACATGAGGAGGTGAAATCCACCAAAATGGACGATTACTTTTCCTGGGTCTTGAGAAGAAGCTACAATCTCTGCTGCCTTGATGTACGAGGGCTGGTCAAATGTTACTGCACATATTCTTAAGTTATGTTTTTCACATTGTGACTGTGCAAAGTATAGTGCCGTGAAGATGGTACTCGGATTGGAGGGGTCTAAATTTATGAAGGGCAGAGTTTCAATTCTCCTACTGGTCACTCTGCATGGCCATTTTCATGAAACCACTCCATGAAGGACAAAGCTCATGTTGCTCAGCTCAAGATGTCTATCTGTTCACGTGAGCCACACTTCCGGTGTTTATACGCAGCTATTCCAACAATATTGGCGACATAAATGACCTGGTCTACTAGCAGAGATGACATGGCATGTGCTATTGAGGTGCATTTCCTGTTTGAAACCTTGTGACTTTTGCCTTTGCGACATTAATTGGTACAAATGTGTCTCCATTTTCAGTTCCATCTCACGTTGAGTACTCTTCACGGTTGCACACTGTCAGTCTGATAGAAGCAGCCATATGTGTGCATGTGTGTGTGGGTGGGTGGGTGGGTGTGTATACTTTATGTATAAAAAGTATTTAATTATTTAATGAAAGGTTTATTTGTACTGATATGTATTACAATGGTGCTTTTCTAGTATAGAAATTTGATTGTATTCATAACGTATCTACTTTAATACAATGAGATCAAATTGGAAATGGTGACCATGTGGGGTGCCATTTTGGATTTTGGAAAGGGCTCAAGTAGTTTGACTGCTACTTGTGTGCTGAAAAATGTATTAATAAGTATTTGGTTGAGTTCCTTATGCTGAACATATATTTAGACATTTCAATTTTGTATTTGGGTTATCTAGTTGCAAAGCTATAAGAAATTCAACAGATGGCGGCCATTTTGGACGCCATCTTGGATTACGGAAAACGCTCAAGGAGGATATACGAGGACTTTTAGTATGTTATTCTAGACATATTCCTCGAGCTATCCTGAAAAAATCAGCTTGTTACCAAAAATGTCCAGGTTTAAGCCTATTTTGACCTAATGCTCTTGGCCTAAGAAGAGGGTTGATAGGAGAGGGGAGGTACACCATAGGTTTATACACTGGCCAAAGCTCTTATAAATCACATATCTGTCTTTATTTACACGGAATTAGATTTACATGTATATAGCAGGTGTGGTACTGCGACTCTTCTTAAATAGTAAATAGGAATGAAATTAACATAATAGGGTGAAGTAAGAACGGGTATGATAGAAGCGGAAAGAGGGAAACTGGCAAAGGAATAGGATGAGACCAAGAAGAAAGCGACGAGGGAGACAACTCTAGAGAGAGAGAGAGAGAGAGAGAAGCTGAAGGTATTAAGACGTATTAGCATATCATAGGAATAAATAGTTCGCTATGTTATTAATTATTTATATTTTTTTTAACTTCTTGGCAAGTAATATAAGAGTATAGTCTAATAGAGGTAACTAAGTCTTGTTCTGACGTATATAGGCCATTAATCCCCTGCGAGGGAATGCTACGTTTTGCGTTGACTTGTTTATTTTGCGACCATGACGGTAAATACGGATCATCGAAGTTCACGAATCTTCCATGCAGAGAGAGAGAGGTAGAGAGACGAGAGGTGTAGCGATCTAGTGTATACGGCAACGGACTTTGGATCACATGGTTCGCGGTTCGAGTCCCGCAGTAATCTTCATTTGTCACTCTTCACCTATGTGTTAAATAATTTACCCGGGCAAGCCCGTATACAGCGAATGTGAATGTAGTTTAAGCTTGTGTGAGCTTGTAAAATGGCGCCTGAGCTGGAATTCTCCCCATGGGCCCATGGAGCGGAGCGTGTGCACTTTCATGGTCGGATTAGCAATTGAATACAATGGCGGGCAAATAATAATTACAGTGTAAATTATTATTCCCTCGCCGACGAAGTCGAAGGGACTTGAAATAGTAAATTAGCTATTTTGTTGATGTAATGATGTCTAGGAATTGCTTTCTTTCTTTTCGGAATGATGTTACTAATGTTTATTAGTTAAGCTTCACGTTGTATGCTGATAACAAAATTAGGGTTCCACATAACTAATAATTCATTTTCTGCTTTCTGGAACATGACTCCTACTATCGGCCCATTATGACTCAAGTCTAGCAAATGAAAAAAAATCAGGATAACCTGGAAAGGAGGTTACTCATTACACTCTTTTCCGTTTCATCTTTATTCAACAGTCCCCATCTAGAGGATAATTGAATTCGATAATTATACATCTTTTCCTAGACACGAATAGGAAACATAATCAGGAATTCTTTAATAAAACTGAAATGTATCAAGGTGGTCAGTGGAACAACCATCGGTATAAAGACAATTAAACGTTTGGTCTTATCATAACCCTGAGTTAAAACGAGTGTTTCATCGTTTAAATGTAAAATCCATTGAATATGTAAACAATACACTTCTATCGAAAATAATATCGCTAGTGATATTCGTTTGTCTCGCAATGTGGTCAATAAGGAATCTAAAAGATCACGACGTTTCGTATGCTACTGCGATACTTCGTTAGGTGATAAAAACTATTGTAAGCAAGGGTCTTTTATACTTTACGAATATCACTAGCGATATTATTTTCGATACTATATCCGCAATGAGTAATATATTTAGCAATACACTTCTATGTCGTTAAATATTATTAATCTTATCGTAATTCCATTATGTTTTCTCGTTAAGAATTATGGTACGTTTCCGGAGTACTACAGTACCCACACTGATTGAGCCACAGTACAGCTGCAGCTGGCATAGTGCATTGCCTTGTACCTGGCATCATTATTTTTCTCACATTGGATGAGTTCCAGTGATGACTACACACTACCGGTCAAGTTGCCATGCTGCATTGTCTCATACCTGATATATACCTGATCTACTTCCTGGTATTTATTAACCCATTTCCTACTGGAACCGGGTCATTTTTGTATTAAAGCTATGGGAAATAATATTAAAAATAATACAAATAATAATATTCAGCTTTTATGTAGCGCGAATCACAATTAAGTCTCTAAGCGCTTCCAAACTGGGATATTATTGGAAATATGTTAAATCAGTAGTCAACATGTTAACTTCCAGGAGAAATGAAGTTCGATTTATTTCATCTTCATGTTTAGATAATATAGGCTCCTGCTAACCAGCTTTATGCATTGTCATTGGTAATTATGTTATTGAATGTAACTCTTGTCTCATTTCCATCATCGTACTTGGAATAATTTCACTTCTTACTACAGTTTTTGTCTCGCCTGCGTAGCAAAAAGCGAGACATAGGCGCCGCTTTTCCGGTGACGGCGACGGCGGCGGCGTCAACATCAAAAACTTAACCTAGGGTTAAGTTTTTGAATTGTTAGCATATTTTCAAAATTGTTTGTTCAAATTCCATGAAACTTGCACCCAAGGGTTATCAAGTATCACAAATCATATGACACAAATTCCAGGTCACAAGGTCAAAGGTCATTTCAGGTCAGTAGACTTGAATTATGTTTTCACATCTTAATATGAGAATAAATAAATCTTTTTTTTTTTAATTAAGTTGTTCATATTTCATTCAAGTTATCGATCCTGGTACAATTAATAGTAAATATTCTTCTGATGATTCTTGGTCAATATTCTCTTCAAAATGCTGATTATATTCAGAGGATTTCTTTTTTGGGGTCTGCTAATGGGCCATCCTGTCTATAAATAATGTTCAAACCTCAATTTTTCATCATATCGAATTGCGTAATGCAGGCGAGACCGCCGAGAGCGTTTCCCTTGTTTCAAATTATCTAAGCAGCAGGTTGTTTTACATTTAGATATAGAAACACTTCTGTAAAAATCATGTGTTGTTTGCACTTTTAATGAATTAAGTGTAATGATGATCGACAATGTAGATTCATAAAAAACCCAGCTGTTTTGGAAATGTTTGGAAACATACGAATTTGGGTTTTAGGTATACTTTTTATTAATTACCTTTAAAACAAAATTATTTTGCCTCTTCCATTTTGGGGGAAAGCTATTTGATTTGTGAAAATAACTTAAATCTGCAAAGGTACTATTTCCCTAATCTTTGTACAAACATAATACTTGTATATGGGATTATTTTGATGGCGAAATACTGCAGAAAATGCATGGTTACAGGCTTACAGCTATTTTAAACATATGTTATTTTACACGCCCTCAACGCTGAGTACCCCCACACCCCCATTCGATTGGGGGAGAGATGAAGGAAAAGGAAACGGAACGTGTAATAATACAATGTAGTATATTTTAGGGCAACAGGTCTTCCCGGTTTTGTCTCATTTTACTCGGTTTTGTTCGATTAGGATAATATCATAATACAACGATCTATTTGTTAATGGCCTTGTATTACGTTTGGTATTATTCATTATATTCTCGGAACATTTATATCAAAATAATGCAAATTATGTCAGTAATTCACATCACCATTTAAATGTGAGACATATACCCAATGAGTCACAAGGAATGCATGTAGCTAATTAATGTACTTGTTGTGAAAATGTACATTTCTTTATTATGAACCAACTTTTGTTTTACATGTTATTTATATGTATAAATGTATATACAAACACACATTATATTATATATTATATTGACATCTACACCTTAGATTGCTACTAGAATAGCACTATTTATTGTAAATAGGTTTGTGTGAAGAAAGAATTCACGAAGCTCATACAAAAGATGCATATATGTGTTGGAAGATTAAGTAATTGCGTGTAACAGTAATTGCTTTTGTAAGTGATAATTCCATTATGTACATCTTTACAGGTGCATACGAAACTCAAGTAACATTATTACTTTTCATTATTTTATTTTGTATTGATATGCATTTTACACAAATATGTGGTTGATCATTGTTGGAGTGTATACGAGTTGTTTCTATCATATATTTATGATGGCACTTGTATCATGTATGGGGATTGCCCTATAGATGACGTAGAATGCTTCATTTGTTATTCACACAGATACAGTACACATCTTTTACTCATTTAATGATTTAAATATGATATGAAGTTGATTTTTATGCGGCGTAACAATGATACAAAAAAGGAAGACAAAAGATTGAGGCTGGAGAGAAATGGTTCTTTAAGGGGAAATTGTTATAAATACAATTGTGTATGTGTTCTATGAAAAGAAAAGTGAAACAATGGCCAAGACATAAAGATAAAGGCAAATAGTAAACATTGGTTTTATTACAACAGTTAAAACTTACATGTATGATATCTGTACAAGAAGATGTATATAAACATTGAGTTATCAGGTTGTGGCAAGTGATCAATCTGGACCTTGATTCCCCAAATTGTGGTAAAAGCAAACATGAATGTTATCACAGATGTCCGAACAATAATATTGATGACTCTTTCATTATGAAGGGATGTGTTTAAATATTCTAGCGCCACCTTGTGACTGCTTTAGTAATAAACCACATGAGAAACTGTGCAGTCGATACCCAGGAGACAACGTGTAACTAGTGCATTTCTTATTGTCCCTAAGGTATCACAGCTATTACATTTTGAGAGTTGTAATCACTACACTTTAGGGAAATTCAAATTGGCCACACCGGTAATGTCACTGTGATGTAGTGGTGAACTATTTTCCCATTTGATCCAACAATAAAAAAAATATGAAGATTACATTTATTTTTTAAATGGATGACTCGAAGGAATCGTTTGTACTTTTAATAATAGACTATCTACGATGTATTTTTAGGAGTGCCTCAAGAGAGAGAGCATATGGGAGAAAAATAGAAGAACTAATATGTTGTACACGACACACGGAATAGGTGTCCTTAACTACGTCACAATCCACTGGCAAAAGTGCCGACTTGAGAAACGCATATATTATATTTCAAACTTCCATAACTCTTTCATCAAGATTAGATTTATTTCAAACTTTCGCCATTCATAGTGGTTTATTTTTCTACTGTCATAGAAATTGCCCCCCATCCCCCTCATCCTTTGCCCATATTGGAGGGATGACGTAATATATACAGTTTATCTAGAGTATGATGGGGGGGGGGCACTTCCAGTCCGTAGATATAATCTGCGCATGGATAGAAAATGTTATTAGTACCAAACGCGTAGAGATGACAATTAACTGATATGCTGTCATGAAAGTTATGTAATCATTATTCATAGAGGTCAGGAGTGGATCTAGAAGAATACATAATATTGGGAAGGGGCGGAGGCGGGGGGGGGGGAGGTTGAAGAAACTGATTATTCGGAAGTACACAAAGGGGGTGTTCTCAATGCTTAAAAAATCTTTTGAAAGGATCAAAACCATCTATACACAGAGTTTGACCAACTTGGTTTTAGTAGGTCACGACATGGCGTGTATTCTTTTATTTTGTGCTAGCCCAACAAAACAATATTCGTCATATTCGGCCCAACTCAATTCGGGATGGCCAAACTGTCCTATTAGGCCAAGAGCATTAGGTCAAAATAGGCCTCAACCTGGACATTTTCCATAACAAGCTGATTTTTTCAGGATAGCTCCGGGAATATGTCTAAAATAACATACTAAAAGTCCTCATGAATCCTCCTTGAGCGTTTTCCGCAATCCAAGATGGCGTCCAAAATGGCCGCCATTTCCTGAATTTCTTATAGCTTTGCAACTTGATAACCCAAATACAAAATTTAAATGTCTAAATATATGTTTTCTAGCATAAGGAACTCATTAAAATACATATTGATAAATTTTGAAACACACAAGTAGCTTTAAACCACTTTAGCCCATCCCGAAATCCAAAATGGCGCCCAAAATTGCCGCCATTTCCTGTATTTCTTATAACTGTGCAACTAGATAACCCAAATACCAAATTTTATTGTCTAAATATATGTTTTTCAGCATAAGGAACTCAACCAAATACTTATTAACACAATTTAAAACACACAAGTAGCAGTAAAACCACTTGAGCCCTTACTGAAATCTAAATTGGCACCCCAAATGGCCACCATTTCCAATTTTATCTCATTGTATTAAAGTAGATAAGTTATGAATGCAATCAAATGTCTATACTAGAAAAGCACCATTGTAATACATATCAGTACAAATAAACCTTTCATTAAATAACTAAATACTTCAATTATACATAAAGTATACACACACCCACCCACACACACACACACACACACATGCACGCATATGGCTGCTTCCATCATCCTCAACGACATCAGACTGACAGTGTGCAACCGTGAAGAGTACTCAACGTCAGATGCCCGGGTTAGATGGAACTGAAAATGGAGACACATTAGTACCAATGTCGCAAAGGCAAAAGTCACACGGTATCAAACAGGAAATGCACCTCAATAGCACATGCCGTATCATCACTGCTAGTAGACCGGGTCATTTCTGTCGCCAATATTGTTGGAATAGCTGTGTATAAACACCGGAAGTGTGGCTCACGTGAACAGATAGACATCTTGAGCAACATGAGCTTTGTCCTTCATGGAGTGGTTTCATGAAAGTGGCCATGCAGAGTGACTAGTACGAGAATTGAAACTCTGCCCTTCATAAATTTAGAACCCTTTTATCCGAGTACCATCTACACGGCACTATACTTTGCACATTCACAATGTGAAAAACATAACTTAAGAATATGTGCAGTAACATTTGACTAGCCCTCATACATCAAGGCAGGGGAGATTGTAGCTTCTTCTCAAGACCTAGGAAAAGTAATTGTCCGTCTTGGTGGATTTCACCTCCTCATGTCACATCTCGGCAGCATATAGGCCACGTCATGGGCGGAAGTATGCTTGCAGAGCTATGGGAGACAGTGTACGCCAAAGGGTCTGTCATACATATGCAATCTGGTCATGCATTTTCCCCTTCTCTTCGTGCTCACATTCTTACTTCAGCTGCCCTCATTGGCGTGTTGATGGGTAAACCTGGCATCTTAGACAGCATAGATAAGGACCACTTAGCAAATATGTATGGTGCACTCCTCAA